TCGAGGCGAGAGGCAGTATTGCAATGACTACAGCACCGCTGAGGGTTCACGGCGGACCAATGCTCGGATGGTTCCTCAAAATGCTTCATAAGAACGTGTCGCATACACAGTAGGTGGTTGCAAAAACTATACCGGAGTTGAGGTAATTTAGCTTGACGCTCTGGCTCTTCAGTATCAGACTTGGAAATTGGCTGATCTTCCTCCGGTTCCTTTTCTATATCTTCTTCAGGCTCTTCGCCAAGTTGAGATGATCCAATAGCCACCTCTGTACGTTTGGAAGCATCATCTCGGTTACCAATTGTCCATGCATCAACTAAAAGTATAATTTTACCCTCATGATGATCTCAAAACGCGCGTCCACCGTGCTGAAGTTCAGAGATGCTGGCAGAAGATTCCTTGGAAGGCCATAAAACACAGACCGTCGTATATCAGGCAAATTAACACCAATGTCAAGGGCCTCTGTTGCAAATACAATCCTGATGGTTGATTCGGTTCCTGGTTTTCGAGTTTCAGACATGACGTATGCCTTATCCATTTCGTGTGTCTCCTGGGTGTATGGGACCACGATACGGTGACAAACCTGTTCGGTATATTAAAATTGCGCGTGAATCTGGAGATATTCCACCACACAATCGAGCGCTGGGATCAGTTCCCTTTGGGATCGAAGAAGACAACCGCCTTGCAGATTTCATGTGGTTCGATATGGGGATCAATTTACGCCCTGAGGGTCAAGTGTTGTGGAGCAGGCGAACTAGAGAACGCGAGGGCCTAATATAGTACGAAGCCTACCAATCTGCGCATATTTAGGCCGGAAACCATCGCCCCAGTGATGGACGAGATCCGCATCGTCAATAAAAACAGCGGTAATGTGTTGATTGATTATGGGTTCTTCAAAAATACATCGTATCTGCGGATTCGCTGCTAACTCAGGGCTTAGCAGAAGATGCGTGTACGCCTCCTTCTTGATATCCACCATCAGACCAGTTTTCTTGTTATCTTTCTTCAGGAATAACAGACGGCCACCCAGACGTGATATACATCATTCGAATTGTTCAATGCCAATCTGAATCAAGGGGAGGATGACAATAGTCATGCTTTTAACTGGTCTCAGCGCAAGGTAACATGCGCGCGATACTACTGTGCGGCTGTATTGCCTCGTATGCTAACAAATCAACAAATATTGATGTTACTTGCGGCAGCCATTACTCACCCACCAGATTATTATATGCATTGTAAAAGGTGTCGTTTTATTCCTTGGCTGATTCTCAATAGGTTTTTATGCTCTTTTCTAAGTTTCAAGCCTTAATGTACATTTAAATCCCCGAAAAAAATCACTTTTTACTAACAAATCTCAAAAAAATCCTGCACTACGAACACAAGGCTGATCAGTATATAACTGAGCAAATAGCCTCTTCTCATAGAGAACATTTATCAGTTCAAAATTACCTCAGGGATTACAATTGTGGGTGATAAAATACAATCCTGAAAATGGGCTGCCGGCAATACCGACGCCTCGGGAAACATCACAACAAAACTGCACACCAGATCAATTAATATTGCATGAAGCATGGAGACGACATGTTCAACCACATCACCAATTTTTTTTACAGTTCCGGCGCCTCTAGAGCCTGTAGTAAATCCAGATCGCGTGGCTAAGGAACAGCGAGCTCAGCAGATGATCTGGGGCGCGTTATATTTTCAACCCAGCAGAATGGTTCTAGATTCCAACAGGAGGAGAGAGAATCATTGTGTCCTTTCTATCTTCCACTGTCTATCAAATTTGTGTGATCTTAGATGCAAGACAACATTTCTGATCGTCTCTTCCAGCATTTCTGTCCAGCTTGCCAGGATAAACAACACAAAACTCGGCTTCTCCAGCGTCTCGACGACACAATATTCATGATTTTCATTCCTATCGTGGTCATCATCTTCACATCTCACATCGATGTGTTTTAACATCCTCAAACTTCCCCTAGAAAGCAGACTTCACACCTCGCCAAACATTCCATCTTAAATCAAAATAACAAACATCGTCTGAAAACAAGATGGCAAATATGGGAAATCAAATATCAGCACTGTTGCGGGAGACTGCTCTTGCGACAGCAAGAAAGACAGCTTCCAAGAAATCAAAGGTATATCACTTCATATTCTGTGTGCCGCATGCCCTTTTACTATCAGTTTCCAGGAAAAGGCAGCTCCAGAAGAACCAAAAGTTCGCAAGACACCCACTTATGAAAGGTGCAGGACAATAAAATTTGCATGCCCCATTGATCTATAATCGATGAACATGGTAATATTATCGAGGGGCTGGAAGAAGAACTAAAACGACCTGCCACTGCACCGACTTCTGCCGCGGAGCCGACAGATGATAATCCAGATCCCGAATCAGGTGAAACAACCCGCCCCTCAACTGCTGGAAGGGAAAATGAGCAGCCACATGACACTTGATACGCTAATCCCATTCTGGATGTCCTTACTAATCTGCGAATCCTCGGAAAAGCAACATATCCATGAGAACACGAGCACCAAACCCAAGATACATTTGGGAGTCAGTATTGTTTGTTATTCCGTAAATCCGTGATATTTTGCCACGACGTTTTGTATATAAAGAGGATCAAGATGTGTAGCTAGAGGAGGATTTTAGAAGATGTGCAAAACAGAGTCAATTATTCCTCACCCAGATTGTACGCTCCTATCAGAGCCTAACCCTGTTCGGACTAGTACCAAAAGATTCCAATACACAGATACGGAACATCTGCGCTGGAATACAAACCATTACCAAAAAGCCCCATTAAGGAGATCCTCTTTGTGGTGAAGTGGTAATTTGGTTCCGACACAACAAACAAAGGTGGGGCACCTGCTAGATTAGCTAAGCTAATCTAGCCAATCAGACAGATCATATTTACCAACCAATCAGAGCGAGCCCCATACTTAAGAGAAGGATCCACTGAATAGGGGCTAAAAGAAAATCTCCCATCGTCGTTCAGTAAATGATTGGGCGAATCAACCACATTGGCCAGAAGGATCCGCAGCCCAACGTGTTCCAACTACGGACGGAAGGGGCGACTCATGCAGCAGAATGCAGTTCGACCCAGGCTAGCAGAGATATCGACGGTGGGATGTAGCATAAATGCACTTGATCCCCCCGGTCAACACTCTGGATGGAAATATGATACAAAATAGATAGGATCAAGGAGTACTCCGTAGCTCAACTTACCTGCCCCACATTATACTTCTCATTTACGCCTGCATTGCGCCGAACTGGTCTAACGAATTCAACAATATTACAATTTCCATGGATTGCATCGTTTTCACTAGTTTAAACACGTTCAACGCTCCTACTACATTCACTAGCACTAAGTATGCGTCCGGTTGACTTGATTTAGCCGTTCCTATCAGTACTATTATAAGCTCACTGGGTCTGGTCTAATATAACAATAGTCCAGGCAGAACGAACTGTTCATTCGCTCGCTATACCTGCCTGGCTTCGATAGTTTCTTCTAGATAGATGGCCACAACATTGCTGCTCCATATATCTCGAAACGCTGCAAAATTTTCTACGCCCACTAATTCATATCAACCACTGGACGGCGACGACAGCTGTGGCAGATGCAGAGTTTGCGGTTGTTCTCTCAAGTGCGGTGGGTGAAGATGAGCCCTGAAGAGAAAATATATATTATGTTGAATTATTATGGCCGAAAGGATTTAACATCACTGTACTAGGGGAGTTTTCTAGTAGATGTAGAGATTTGTTGAAGCCAATGTAAAATAACGTGTAGCATACGTTATGTATATATACTACTGCTTGATTTAGGTCCATTGGTATCTGTGAGATAATGCAAATCCATTAGAACCAACCATTCAGGTAAAACCAATAGAAATAGTTGAAATCCCACAACTCGGCAGAAACGCCATCGCCTAATTTTAGGTTTATTCCTGGATCCATCACATCAAGATAGCCCCGATCTCACTCTCTTAACTATCCCGATATGCTGAGCTTCCCATATTATTCTCAAGGCCTTATTTATTTATTACTTGGGAGTACTCATGAAAGCTTCACTTCGCAGCTACTTACTACATTACAGGTTTTTCTATCAGCTATGATGTCATCGAAATGGGTTCCCTGGCGTTGCTTTCAGGTATTTGCATCGCCTGTCACTAACATCTATAGATAGATTCATTTATGTTGGACTCACTTACTACTCACATTTGATCTGGGAAGCTATGCATTTACTCCATTCCAGACAGGCAATGTCCTAGATCTACAGATGGGTATTCTTCGTTGCTTGTGGTGCGTCCTGCTTTGCTTCTTTGGTGATTCGATGCCTTACCTGATAAACCCATTCTTTTTAGCATGACTATGGGCCAGGAATATCTCAGTCAAACTTTGATTGATACAACAAGTCAAGCAGTCCATCTGCTTAATTGCTTGCCGGGTGACACAATGCCTGATAAGACTTTCTCTATCTTTCTATTCTTCTCTTTTCGATAATATAGTACTCTCAACGATCCTATATCAGCGAATTACTGGTTTATGATATGGGCTAAGTGATTGTTCTTTCTATTTCTTCTCGTTCCATTTGTATTGTTTGTTTATTTGAATGTCATCTGATGAAACTTGGGGCTGACAGGCTTCAATCCTCTAGAAGACGCGTCGTTTTTATTTCTCAGTGGATATTCCTGACAAGAAACCAAAATAAATAGGGTGTCTGGCGTTTGACTTGCAAGAGAAAACCTACCCAGCCAAGTTTACCCCTCCTTTTTCACTCAATCCCTTCGCTCCAATATACCTATCACTTCTTCTCTTTTTCACTCCTCTAGCCACTCCCAACTATTCCCACACTTTTAGGCGGTTCTGCTCCTTACAAGATTGCCGTTAGCATTATCAGCTTCACGACATACTCCGGCCTACCTTAGTTGCATTGTCCGTAAGTATCTTCGACCTATTCCTCGCTATCGTTTTCAATATTGACAATCGGATTCCGTTCTCAGTTGGCACCATGAAGATCTCCAAGAAAGACTGCGCCGAAGAATTTGCGTCTAAGGAACACAATGTCTGCGAGGCTGACGTTAGAGACCATTGGGACATCTTGAAGGAAGTCCTTAGACCAATTGTCGAGCAAAGCACAACCAAAACCAAGTGTTATGTGAGCAAGGAATATGTGGACAGATACATGCGGGTGACAGCCGACAACACCACAGTGAAGGAAATCAGGGACAAACTCCATTACTTAACCCCTCAGCAATGGCATCAATTCTTTCAAAGTTGCCTTGGCGGAGCCGTCGATAGGCTTCGATATGGGAAGAAGAAGGGTTCTCGTAAGCGAAGTCGATCCCAAGATAGCTCGAGTAGCAAAGACGGTGAAAGAACGCCACACCAGGGTAAAAAATCACGAAACCAAAGCCGGTCCAGAGACACAGACACTATAGACAGCATCAAGACCGCCTTCTTGACAATGGTCGAGAATAGCAAAGACTATATCGGAATTAAGATCCCTCTCGATGCAAAAATCTTCTGCCAGCTACCTGATCATCCGGATAAATTGGCTTCACTTAGTGTGTATTTACTAACAGCATCCCAACAAGATCCAAAATTCCTGAATAGTCGGCAGCTGGATTATGGCCGTTTAAAAAAGCAGTTTCTGGCCCGCTACCCAACAAATGATTATTGGATGGAGATAAGCTATACCAGCCATCAGATCAAGCACGTGGTCTTCGACAGTATCACACTCCAATCCGCAGTGGAGAAGATGATCATGTCAAGCGACGAATTCTCGCTTGAAGCCATGACGTGGACTCCTACCGAAAGGCCGCTACTACGCTTCGATATCCAGTTATTTTCTGAAGATGATAATGGGATGGTTACAGGTATTCTTAATCACTATTCATTGATTCCATTCCCTCACTGACATTGTCTAGTGGAACGACGCTTCCGAACTGTCAGTATTACGCCGCAGAATCCTCCCTCACCCATATCTAAACCGACCACCAAGAATGACGATCTCACGAGGAACAAAATCCATGCTTCCATTGAAGGTTCTCCCAATGAAGCAGATAGAGGTCGAGATTCCGCGCCAGTCTTGGAAGATCCGCCGTCTACACTTTCAAGATCCGAACCGTCCACCGAAACAGACGAGGGCACGACAAAGCCGAATAACGATGGCAATGTCATGGATATGACTGCTGATAATACTTCCAATACAAAAAATGACAGTGGAGATTCCCAGTCAGACCCAGCAGATCCGAAGGTGAATAATAAGGACACAGTCGGTATGCCAGGTGACAATGCCCATCCTGATGAGGCTTCTGTTCAAAGTCCTTCCGATATAGACGATGACAGTCGATCTTCGGAATCAAGCAAAGAGGATGAAGATATGGCGGGAATGGGAGAAGAAGATTTAGATCTTAATCTCGAAGACTATTTTTCTGACAATAGACCACAGGAAACACTTGCTGATGATGATGATGATGATGATGAAAACACCCTGCGAGATTTTGACAGTGACGTTCAGCCAGGAGCAAAAAGCGATGGATTAGGCGGCAGTGACTCTACACAACCTAAAGTAAATGGCGGATCTGATGAGAGCAATGTCAGCGGTAGGCCACGTGATACCAGCCAGGGTGAACGTCCTCCGAACCGCCCCAGCCCTAAGGATATCAATATAGATGAGAACGGGCGTGAAAGCGATGTGGCCTTACAAGATGAGGACGAGGATAAAAACAATAACTTGTTACCCAAAGGTCAGGATGAAGAAATGGCAGAAGATGGGTTCTCAGATGAAGAAGACTACGGTGAAGCCGAAAAACAGTATGTTTGTTTAAAATATCCCTAATCCTCAGATTTCTGTTACTAATCACAATGGGACAACCCTGTTTAGACTCGTTGAACTGAATAGCAATGTCATCCTCGAGCGAGTAACGGAAAATGACATCAATCGCCTTTGTCGGTTTCTCAAACTCCAGCGGAGCGACGTGGCGAACATCGACCATCGTATTCCGATTCCGGGATTGCGCTATGGAGGACGACCATACCAGGCATTCGGTGCTATGTGGATGTTGCTTCAGGATACAGGTACACTACGTGGTGGCTTCCTTGGCGATATGGTGGGACTTGGCAAGGTAGACCGTTTCTAGCCTTAGCACTGAAGCCTAAATAATACTGACCACTTCCGCTAGACTTTCACTGTTCTTATGTACTTCGTGCTTGGACTTTGGATCGCAAACAATTACGCGGACGTTAAAAACGCATGGAAGACCGGAGATCCACGGCATCATCCTCTGGGACACACTGTTGATGGTCCTTGTCCATCTGAGAAAGGATGGCCTATCGAATGCTGCTGCATCAAAGGTAGCCTTTCCTACCAGGTTTACAATCCGAATAAGGGTGCCACTGTTGTTTTCGCGCCTCTGTCACTACTCGATAACTGGGTCAAGGAATTTCACTACTTCGTCGACCCTGACGCGATGCCCGAAGACAATCGTCCAATATCGCTCGCTGCACACAGCAGAATCAAATGCAAAAACAGCATATCTGTTAATGGGGGAAAGGAGCCATTTACCATACCTAGACTTGAAGACTTTATTCACAAAAATCCCGGAGATCACCAGCCTCTCAACGTCACGGCCATACAGAAACAGTGGAAACAGTGGTTTGATACCAAACCCAAGCAGGGGGACCAGCCAGACTTTGACCCTCCCAAACACAACCGCAGAATGCAGAATATATTTATTATTACCACTGATAGGTGCTTCAAAAAGCATGTCGATCATAAATTCCGGTTACAATTCTTTTTTGGAAGAAGAGGTTACCACTGTATTCCCTATGGCAGGTTCCGCAGCGTCCATATAGACGAGGCACACAAGGCTAAAACCAGTGGTTGTGGCACTATCGGGGAGCTTAAGAATCTCCGCAAAACCGCTTTTCCACCGAATATTTGGGCGCTGTCCGGAACCATGCTTCAAAACTCACCGGGCGACTTGGCCGGCTATTGTGGAGTATTTCAGGTAGCAGCCAGGGACTGGAATTCCGATGACCGCTTAGAGGGCATCAGTGAGGCGCAACTTTTGGAAGATAAGAAGGCGTTCGACTCAATAGCCGAAAAGTTTAGCAAAGACACCAGCAAGGAGTTATCAGAGCCTCTAGCTAAGAACAAGAAGTTCCAGGATATCAAGGCCCGTGTACAGCGTTTTTTGCAGGCATCAATGATAGCTCGTAGCCACACATCTCTTTGGCCCGATGAAGGAACGGCGCGCAGGCTGAATGTAACGCGTCGAACACTGACTGAGATCAAGCGCATCGAGCCTCAGGTTCTATGGCAAAGGAATCATCTGTCTTCCGAGATACAGGCCGCGATGGAAGTCTCCAAAGCCACATTCGAACGCGAAGTCAAAGATTACATAAATAGCACGGAGAAGCCAGTCGGAGAAAAGAAGGCAATTCGTCAGGTATTGAACAAGTCGGGCGGACTTCGTACCCGGCTCTTCGCAACGTTTCCTTTCCTTGTGCTGTACGATGATGACATTGCGCTCACCCAGCAAGAGATCTACAATAAGGAAGAAGGGCGTCGCCAGATCATGGACGTCTTGCCGCAGTACGAGGATAAATGCTGGAAGCTCGGTTGGATCCACAAGTATGTGATAGAGACCATGAGGAAGGAAACCTCGTACCACAACGGGCCGCGGAAGATTATCTTCATTGCCCAAAACGTTTGTGTTGCTCATACTATACACAGGGTATGCCTGCTCGTCATTTGGCCTATATTGATTGCTAACGTATCGTCTATAGTGGTTAAGTCAAAAGTTCCCTGAGCACCGTGTTTTGTACATAGATGGACATACTGTTGGGAGATCGTCACTTGTTGAAGATTTCAGTGAAGATAACTACACGCGGGGTAACGAATATGATAGCCCTACTATGCTTGTTGCCACCGCTAGGGTCTTTGCCGAAGGCTTCAACGTAACGCGCGCATCCCACATGGTTTTACTGGAGGGTTTTTTCAACGAGGCGTCTGTTCAGCAAGCGATTGGACGAATCAATCGCATCGGCCAGAAGGATCCGCATCTCGAAGTTTTTCAACTGCGGACGGAAGGGGATTTCGTGGAAGAGCGATTGGATCGGCGGGTTGAAATTCGATCCAACCTGGTAGAGGCGTCAACTGCGGATGCAGCATAAATGCCCTCCTCTCTAGCCTCAGTCGACACCCTGTATGGCCTATTTAGGAATGGACGGAAGGAATTGTTCAAGTTACTTGCTGGGATGTTATCTCGAAGTCATTGGAAACTCTACTTTAACGGATACGTGGAGTGTTAGATGTAGTCGAGATGATTAGATTGACCGAAGCAAAGAACTTGGATCGAAGTACTACAGAATAGATAGGATTGAGCCAAAACTAGACATACCCTAGTAGGCATTATCAGTAATTGCACTTTCAGTCTGTATTACACGGAATAGTCCTAAAAGTCCCAACAGCGCTATGGTTCCCATGGTTTCCAGTATTTCTATTGATTCCATTGTTGTTTTCACTAATTCCATTGTTTCCACCGCTTTCATGGTTCCCACTGCCTTCATGGTTTCTGTTAGATATCGCGAGATCTACCACAAAGAAAACAAGGACATTTGAACAAACCTGGAGACAAGTCATTCCCCTATTTTCGGCTAATCAGAGGCCTCCGAACACTATGCCTCACTTTTTGTGAAACGTCATATAGGATATATCATATTGTAGATCATTGGAGAATGTACCCGGGAATTGAACTCATTCCTCGTGCCAAAGTACATATAAGAAAGCCATTTTTGTGGCATGGAAGGCAGAAGAACACAGGCAACTCAATACATACAATCTTGCTAGTCATTTTATTCTCTTCCCGTCCTTGTAAGCTACTTACTATCCAGGATTGGCCTGAAGCTAACCCAGCAATCCGACAGCTCTTAGACCGTGCCTAGCTACAGCAGGTATATCAAATCTACTACTACTACTACTACTATTCGCTGTTCTTTCAACGGCGGATACAAATATCGAATATTATTCGACTGCTGTTCATGCCATTTCATGTTAGTGGATATGGTATCTGCCATACCGCGCCGATACTTGACTATCCGCCGTACTTTCAATCATACGGAGATGAAACCATACGCGATCGTGCCAGTGCTCTCAGCCAAGAGTTGCAAGGCCATAATTATTAGCTTAGAAGTTGCTCTCGTAACTAGTTCTATAATTGTCTGCCTGGATGAAAGTGTAGCACAATCAATAATATAACTAGGTGGGATCAGCCTGTAACAACGTTACGTGGGATACGTATATATATGGATTCAAGAACGATCACAATAGTTGAGCATACAAGGTAGGGTATGGAATGTCAATGTACTGAAACCTATCTCCTGCTTCCGCAGCATGTATTCTATATAAGAGACACTCATGTTGTTTTGTGGCAATACATTAACCATAGCCAGCTGAAGTATCCACACTTTTACCACTCTCTGTTCTCGCATCAAACTTATTATAACAACACGATTGGGCAGGCATGTTGGTTGTTACAGAAAAGAAGAAATGGCTAGCAAAATTGTATGTATTAAGTTACCTGTGTTCTTCTGTCTTCCATACCACAAAAATGGCTTTCTTATATGTGCTTTGACGAGGAATGAGTTCAATTCCCGGGTACATTCTCCAATGATCTATAATATGATATTGGAATGCTTGCTTGTTAGAACAGGATGTATTTCTAGGGATTCCCAAACTGTTCATACTTGGGATCCTGCTACCAGTATATGCAAACATAACAAAGATAAAGATCTTTCATAGAGATCTTACAAATATATTTCACAAATATCAAATAGGAGGCTGCACATGTGAAGATTTCATATGTCAACACTGCCAATGCCAATGACAAGTCCAAACATGCTATTCTAGCAGAATAATACATAGCATCACACATCTATGAGTGTTCCTTATTAACAACATTTGAGTCCTCATCCTAACACTCATTCTCCTCCTTATTGTAATAAACTCGTCATCTTACCATCACGTGCCTTCAAACATAGCACCACATGCCAGTCAACATGTTGTGCTAATAACAACATATTCTCCATCAGAATAATGCTTTGTCTACTAGTGGCTTTCAGCATGTTCAGATTCATCAATAGTATTTACACCTACCATAGTTTTCTGGTCGCTTTCCTCCACCACCTTCTCATTATAAGTCATGTCATAAAGTCCTATACCAGTGATTACTGCGCTGCCAAATCAGATGCTACATCCTAATATCCAGATATGTGACGGCTGGGCATGGCTCTGCGTTCCCGTCTCAGTTCACGGATAGGGCTAGGAGCCGTGTAACCCTATCCGCGCCTTATTGGGAAGTGATATCAACATCAGACGTCAGAACTGGATAGGGAAAGGCGCCTTGCACAGAGATTTACATGAGAAGCGAGAACCAGACCTTTACTTCATTTCTTCCTTTTTCCCCTTTATGCTTAATATTACCTGTCGACAAGCACCTCTTGTACGAGATAGTTAGCTAGAATAGCGTACTCAAACCAAGCAGATTGGCACCGTCACAGATACAGCAATCTTATTCACCTGACTCTAATGGTATCCAGGTGTCAACTGTTCCAAATCCTCAATATTTCTCTCCTGTTATAAGTGCTCACATGATACCTGCTTATACTTCACTAGTTCACTTGCCATATTCGGCAACACAGCCTTCACCTAGTACTAGGGACAAGACCAGTGTCCATCACACCCTCAAGGACACCCTCAGCCAGTTCCATCTGTTCCTTTACCATTACCAGCCCAGCCTACCAGTGCTCCATTCATCATCTATCCGCTGATACGCGCCCAAGTCCTACACCCTTATCTTGAGACACCGCTGCAAGTTCAACATATCCCCAAACCAGAGCCTCCAGATGTTAAAATTCTTCGTGGGGTTCTCAGTTATTCCACAGAGACTGCTGCCCAATAAATTTTCATTCACCTGGGAGTTCAAAATACCTGTTGGTTTAGCTACGTCCTGATAACACGAAGCACAGGATTACGCAGTAAGGCTATTCCAAAGAGCCCATGAGCCTGATAATATTGATGTTATTTGAATATTATGACTGCTCCCCAAAAAGGGAGGAGAAGGATAATTACATGCAGGTAAAGGGGATATCCCCAGGGAACCGGAATAGCTAATATTCCGGTGTTGATACTCAACACCTGGGGATTCCCGTACACACAATACCAGATGAAGTACTGCGTTAGAGACCAATCTTCGTGAGGCGACCGAATCATGGAGGTTTCATCCCGTTATTATCGGATTGGAATGTCATTTCGTCTCCGCTACATCAAGTACCTAAAAAGCAAAAACATGGAATCAATTTCTTCGTGGTCACAGGCTGAAAGTCAATGGCCTGATATTATATACATATACACATCAATAACAAAGAGATTCATCACTCGCCAAATGCAAAAAAACACCTATAAATATCAACACTTACCTCATAGGCGGCATCTGTCAGATAATCCTGATTTCAAACGAAGCAGGGAGATCGGCTGTTCAATCTTACAGGTCTAAAAGGCACCTTAAGCCACCTAGATTTCAGCCCGATGTTTACCCCTCATGATAGCTCACAAATCACCACGCCAAAGACGTCTATAAAAACCCAGCTTTGAAACCTGATATACAGAGAGAGAGGGAAAAGGAAATACATACAATCTTGCTAGTCACTTCTTTCTTTTCATCCTAGTAAAACACTCTTCAGGATTGGACTGGAATAAACTGACTAATCCGACAGCATCAATGAAGTCAGAGTAAATGTCTTGCGCAGCAGACTGTAACGCGCAGCAGACACTTGGTACTTTGTTGCAGTCGAAATCCTACAGGTGAACACTCCGAAAAGCTTTCGCAAATTGGTTAGGAAATCGCCGGCTCAAAAAACGCGTTAATAAATTCTCGCTAGACTATCATCAAGCAATGTTGATGATAATGACTTGATGATCGTGGATCGCTTTATTTCGATCAACCTGCGCGATCCCTTCACTACACAAATATTCGATATTCCTGCTCGAGGGTCACTGTGCACACATATGGAATGCTTCGATATCTCTACTTTCCTACAGACAATCGCAGCTGAGCCTTTGTCGGATAGCCATAAAATTTATATCAGGTGCCCCATTTGCCGAAAGGATGCACGACCTGGACTTTTATTGATTGATGAGTTTCTTGGCGAGGCGAGGAACACTTTCCAAGGAGAACAAGTTGGAGACTGCAAAGGCTATTCACATCAAAAGCGACGGTTCCTGATCTACTGTCTTGGATACGAAGAGCGACATTCGCAACGCAAGCCGGAAATGGGACCGGAGGAGCTTTGGGTTTGATAATAGTAGTAGTAGTATTGATATACCCGCTATAGCTGGCCACTGACTAAGAGCCGCTATCCAGGTGTGTGCCTAAGCCTGCAGGCACCAAGAAGTCCGAGGCCCAGCCACGGGTGGTGCGCCATAGGGGCGCTCCACAAGAACGGAAGCTAAGGAAACAAGAACGGCGAATGCAAACATGTCAAACAACCAAATAAATCAAACATCTTGATCGGCTAGTGCGCGTACGCCCAGCCCGTACGAATCCCCAGATTCCTCTAAGTCCTCCGAACTGCACCTCTGTATCGTACAGATCGTACAAATGTCTCACGTTTCAACAACCGACAACCCACAACCCACAGATTCGCGTATCTCACCCTTCGCAAATCCGAACCGTACGTCCCCTACGTCGCATCCCCGTTGGCTGGTTCCGAATCGCTTGATCCAAAGCTCATATTCATATCAATCCTAGTCCTTACTGACAACAACGTCGACCTAGAACGCACATCATCTACGTGCGCGTTCGTACATGTTCCCACGTCAGTGTCCTTGTCATTTGCAGGCTCCAATTGAGCCGCTGTTTCTGTGCTTTCATAGGTGCCAACTGCTTCCGGATCTACCTCACGGAATTGATCAAGCACTCGCGTATCAATGATGAACTGCGCGATTGCAATTGCGGCCTTTTTTTCCTTGAGTAATGCTTGCAGATCTGTTGTGCGTCGGAATCCCTTGATTCGTGACCACATGAGACCGCGTTCATTCTCATACAGTGGGCATTCCATGAGGATATGTCGTACTGATTGACCAGATAGGCCGCAGGCGCAGTATGGCTGTTCTCGCCTGTTGATTCGCCACAGATAGTGCGCCAGCCCGATTCGTTCGGTACGCAGCTGTATCAGTATTGACGATGTTGCTTTGCGGAGAAAGGTCCAATATTGGAGTGTGCGCTTGGAAGGCTGAGTGACAAGTTTTTTGGTAGGTTTCCCTGCCTTTTGCTTGTCCCACTGTTTCTCCCAGGCATCCTTGGTTGATTGGCGTATTCTGCGCTTTGCAGCTGCTGCGAGTATGGTCCAGTTACCGATATCTCCTGGCACAATCTGCCTTCGTGCACCTATTAGAGCTGCACGTTTTGCAGCCCTGTCTGCGGCTTCGTTTCCGGGAATGCCCTCATGGCCTGGAATCCATCTCAGCGTCACGTCGATATCCTCATCAATGCACTTTCTTAGTGAATCGATACAGTCATAAATGTACGTTTGGCCAGAGACCATACGCGGATTCATGAGGGTTCTGAGCGCAGCTTGGCTATCTGAGAAGATAACTAGCTTCTTGGTTTGTATATTCTGATCCGCGATCTGAAGCGCGGTTTCTAGCGCAAATTTGATGCCGCAGGCCTCAGCTGCATACACGGTTGAGGTGCCTTCCGTACCAATACACTCTGTTCGTTGTTTTCCAAAGGCCGGGATGACCATGGACGTGCCAATATAGCCTTGATATCCACTGCCGTCTGTGTATATTGCAATATGCTCATTCTTACGTATGATGTCGTTATGCACTGATATCGCCTTTTCTCGCTCATCGATCATAATCTTTGGAGGCTCATGCCACGGTGCCTGGACGTACGCGAGTCGGCTCTCCCTTCGCCCTGCCAAGGTCCCCGGGGGAGCCAATAAGCATCCGCCCTTCTTCCAAGCATGAGCTTCCATGGGAGTGTATCCGCCGAGCTTGAGTTCGTCATCAGTACGTCGATTGCTAGGCCGTCAGGGATCGCAAAGGCAGGGCCTGTACGAATCCGTATAGCTGTAGCCTTTGTGAGTTGGTCCAGTTGCAATCGGATTGGCATTAAGTGAAGCTCTATATTGAGGACCTCCGCAGCCGTTGTACGAAGAGCTCCACTGATTAGGCACGCCGCGCGCTTTTGGGTGATTGCAAATTTGCTTATGGTTTGTGAGATTTGCCTCTGGCTCATGAGGCCTGGTTGAAACCAGGCCGCAGCGCCATAAAGCATCTGTGGGATAACAATTGCTTGATAGATCCTCCTCATAGAGCCTAATGCGACCCCCCACGTGGATCCTGATAGGCCACGTAGGGCTTCCAAGCTGGTGCCTGCCTTTGCGATGGCCTCATCACGATGCGTGTCAAAGCACAGCTTCGTGTCGAGCCAGATGCCGAGATATTTGACAGCTTCCTTGGGCTTTATTTTAACGTTATCGCGAAGCTGGATTGGCTGCGATTCAGGATTGGTCGTGCTTCGTGGGTTCACAAAGTGAATTAGTTGATATTTCTTAGTGTCAAACACCGAGACGTGTCGTACCGCCCATTGATCCGCGATCTCGCTAGCTTTTTGAAGCTTTCTTATTGTCTCTGACTCTGTATTGCCTGTGGCCATCAGGGCCACGTCGTCCACCCATCCGCTTGTCGTTGTGTGGTTAGTCAAATTCGCGCAATCCTCGATCAAATCCGCGTTGTAAATCAGATACAAGATCGGTGAGATTGGTGATCCCTGTGGGATACCTGTTGGTGTAGGAATTTGGCCAGATATCCCCTCAGGGATCCGTATCTTGGTGCTTCGATTTGTGAGAAAGGCGGTCACCCACGACACAAAGTGCCCTAGACGTCGTTTCTTCATATTGTGTAGTAATCGTAGGTGGTGGGCATTGTCGTAGGCGCCGCTGACGTCCAATAGGAGCATGGATACAACGGCATGGCCACGTCCCCAGGCTCCACGGATTCGATCGAGGATAATCTGTATGGCATGATCCGTGGATATTCCTTTACGGCCACCTAGGTGGCTTGAAGGAAGCAATCCTTCACTTTCCATGGCGTAGCTGATGCGACGTGCAATAATTGCTTCGAGAAACTTGCCGAGCGTGTTGAGCATTTGGGTTTGATAATACCAAGGATGAGAGCCGTCCTCACACTGCTACTCCACGGGGAGCTTCCGCACTTGAAGTTATTGAGCTTGATTAGGTTGGCATAAGTACATATTTGCATTATCATTCTTTATACTTGATTGTTATCCAGTCGACTGTTAGGAGTTGATTGGTTTGTCTCTGTCAATTCGAATACCCGAGCGGTTGTCTTTGGCGTTTAGGGCGCCCTCAATTTTGATGTTTGAATTCTATCACTAGGAATCAACTGACAGACTATTATTTGGTTTTTTTTATATACGTTACTCAATTCAAAGCGACTACACACGATTAATTGTTGATTCGTACTTCTAGGATTGAAAACATACTTCCGACGAGAACGAGGAACGGAAGCAGATTGATCCACGAGTTGAAGATCGCCGTACAAAGCTGGCTGGCTGAATACAGAGAAATTGGGTTACCATCAATATTACACGAGGAATTGATTGCATCTTCACTACCGACTAATATTGGAGGAGAGTCGTTTTCTTGAGATACAGGATCCGCAGAGTGTGGAGGGCCTCTCGCTGATGTGAGCGGCCAGTTGTCAGTATATTCTCTCAATTTGACCTCTGTAACCATTTCTCGTTGTCGTCTCTCCATTAGGTTTGGATATTACATTCGAGGGCGAGATCGCGTTCTATATCCCCGGTGCACTCGTGCGGATCTTTCTGAAACGATTGCGGGTGGATTCTCCTTCATCGTCGTACCATGCAGCCCTCCAGATCACGATTGCATGCACATATCGGAGAACCATTTGCCTTATCAGCTTCTGTTCGTGACAAATTAGGACTCTTGCCTTTTTTTCTTCAGCATCCGCTCTTCATCTACACACCGACGCTGTGCTGCAATGCAGAGAGCCTACTCTTTGAGACTTTGACTCGAAACGGGATTGTTTGTCCACCAATGGAGGTAAATAGGGATAGTAACGTCGTGCGAAATCGTAAGGGCAGGAGGGGATTAGTTTTTGTTGACTCAGTGATTCCTAGGACGCCATGTTCCCTCTGTTGTCGGATCAAGAACTTAAATAATCCGGTTTCCTTGTGTTTCGTCTTATGTATTTCATTTAGTACGGATGACTTGCAATTAATATGAGCTCCAGTCGAACTTTAGATGTTCCGCCTGTTCTCGGCTTACAGTAGAGAATCGCTTTTCTTTCTTGCCACCGAGACTCTCATATAATCCCTCCCTTCTCTGACCTTATTTTCCAGTTATGGGTTATGAATTTTCTGTCATATGTATCTGTTGATAGCATTCCTGCCTATGCCTGGCCGGAATGGGATATAGTTCATTCGTGCACACTACCTAGCGCGCGCAGGATGTCCCTCTTAGTTCTTAGGAATCAGTCTTAATATATTGAATTCAGTATTGCTGGCTCATGCAGAGTATTGGAATAGCTATTCTACGAATCATATCATTAGACACTACCGTGATTACTCCTCTTAAACTTTAACTACGGAAAAAGATGACTTCCGTGTATCAAACAAGAAAGATCATGCCAGGCACAGTATTTTACAGCTGCCCGTCCTTGCTGCGCTCGGAAGACAGATGAAACTGTTCGTTTATATACGTCTAGTTCGTTAGCACCAGATCCCACTTGCTTGACGTGATGTCAGAAAAGAACTCTGGAGCTAACTAGCCTGATCTATGGACGGTTGACGTTGTTATTTCACCATACATATGTCCAACCGCTTTCTCTCTCCATATCAGCACAAAATATCATTTGTGACGGTAACTCAAACCGTACAAGCCCTCACCACAACGCAATTTCCAGTTAATACAGGTAGAGTTGAGTAAGTAGTCATTGAAGATTATCCCTCTAGCACAAGAGTATTCCAAGCTCATCAATACCACTGTTACCACGGCCGTGTTCACCTGAGTCTAATGGCTCTATCCGATGGATATCCTTATCCCACAGTAGGCTTTGGTTTTGGTTTACGACCCTTAAATCGCATTCGTCTTCGTTTACCAGCCTCAGATAGTATTCGCTCTTGTTTAAGAGCCCCAAATCCACCTGTGGACATCCGAAGGCTGGGTTTGTAACAGTATTTAGGGGGAACAGAAGCAGGAAGAAGAGCGATCTCGTGCTGTTTGCGTTGTTGGGTCTTGGTAGCTTTAGCGGCAAGCCTCGCCGACTTTCGGCGTGTGGGTTTTTCGAGTGTCGAATTTGAAGTCTGGGAGAATTCGGGGATCGCTTTCATTCGATTGAATGTTAGAAACAGATCAAAGCAAGTTATATAAAGCAAAGTGAATGATTCTATTTACCTCCAGAGAACGCAGGATCCTCGTCCGTGACAGGTTTCTTCTCTGTATCAATGCCGTTAACCTGTGAAAGATATGCTTGTGAGTACCATAGATATATTGGTGGCTAGACTGTTGAAATTTGTTTACCTTTATTTGTTGATTTTCGAAGGCGAGGTCTTCAGAAGTCATCTTTTGAGGAGATTCAGAGCCGCTTTTTCCGTTGTCAAGAGCCATTTTGCACTAAAAGCATGAGAGTCTAGCAAAGTAGCGCAGTCAATGCCTACAGCAAGTTGGTCAAGAGGTCGTGAATAAGGCCTTGAAAAAAAGAGGGGAGAGTGGAGGGTAAAAGAGGGAGACATGCTCTCACAATGATGGCAATCCATTTCATGAAATATGTGCACGCCCCTCATTTGACCTGTAATTTGCTGGATCGCTAGAGATATATGTTGACGGGAACGCCCGTCACCCTTTGTGCCATACCCATAAGCGAAGATTGAGGTCCCCAATCCTCACCTGGGCACATTTCCAGTTAGACAACAAGACTTGACATTTGTTTCTAATATCTCACTTATCATAACATAACTCATATTTGTTAGCAGTCTTCCGATATTCTTCACTTCATTTTCCATCTGTTCATACCATCAAGATACTCATAATGGCTGATCAACAGGGGAACTTCAAGGACATCAGGCTAGCGATCCGGATGAATAACGCCGAATTCGAAAAACTGATAGAGTTCATACAAGAGACTATCATCGACTATCCCTTCCATGGCGTAGAGCAAGGATTGGAAGCCAAAAAGTGATTTCAAGAGCATGTGTGGCCAGAGCTAGCTTGCTCCGGCCGATTCGCAGATCTCGCTTCTGAAAAGATCGAAGATTCATCCAACGAGGCACGGGCACTAGGAAAATTGTTGATGTTGATGGAAGGAATTCTAATCGGCAGAAAGACGATGTGTGCTTGGACAAAGACGGGTCGTGTCCCACTAAGAGAATCGCAGGATATCCATGACGCAGACCGTTGTCAGACGATGACAGTTCTACTTTTGAGGATACCAAGACGTTGACTTCTAGTCGAAAACGCGCTAGACAGCAAAAAGCACAAAGTACACGACTCTTCAGGGGAATCTCACATCACTCTGGGTCGAGCTTCGAGGGACATTGTGGAAATATCAGCGAAAACACGAAATATCGATACTGTCAAGAACATTGATATGGCTGACGTGTCTGCACCGACTGCCCACAAAATCTGCTATCAGGGAAGGTAATGCCGGGAATGCTGATATGGTCAACAGTACTAGAATCACTCCAGGCGCCATTGTTATAGACTTGACGGACAATAGTGACGAGGATAGCGAGACTGATGAAAGCAATGAGATTAGTCAGACCGATGTAATAGAGCTTGATTATTCTGAAGATGACCAAGGTGACGGCGAAGAGTACGTGATTCTTCGCCCTGCAGCGTTTATTGCATTAAAAATTTCAATAACTATATCACATAACAAACAGATCAATCTCACTAGACGAAGGAACTTATTGTTTGTGCGAGCATAGCTCACCACAGCAAATTCAAGAGATTCAAGAGGTCGCAAAGCTTTTCAAATTAGAGGGCTTGACTTACATGGATCGCTCGTGGAAGTTTAACCTACGGCCCGAGCTCCTGATCCGCCAACTAGCTTGCGTCTATTTGATATTCAAGACGAGCCATGAAACTCCCTCAAGAGGGCGGTGCGCACATCGGATGGGGCTAGGTAAGACCACGGAATAGATCGCCTGTCTTGTGCTTGCTCTCTCGCAATTTCGATGTGGCCTATTGTCGGATTGGTAGGTTTATTCCAGGCCAATCCTGAATAGTGGTTCACTGGGATGAGACAAGAATAAGTGACTAGCAAGATTGTGTGTATTGGGTTGTCTGTCTCTCTCTGTCTGTTCCAATACATCAGGTTTCAATACCAGGTCTTTATAGACACTTTTGCGGGGTGATTTGTGAGTCATCGAGAGGGGTAAATTTTGGGGCTATAAGATAAAGCTTCTGATTGTTCACTTCATTTTACTGCTTCCGGACATCCGAATTATCTGACACCTATGACGACGTACAGAAGGCATGGACAAATAAGGACTTTACCATCCATGTAGCACCGCACGCGTCGGAGGGTGAATGTCAAAACTCGAGCTTACCGTTCGTTTGCTCCTGCGTCCCACACACACTCGCTGTCGAAGTCATTTTTCCCCCATTAGAGGTCCGAATTTGATTACTACTCAGTCCTCTGTCGTGGTTCAGTATGAAGACGAGTGGCTAAAAATCTTTGACTTTGCCCCGTCGATCCATGTCTCAGAATGAACTTGATAGTCGACAAACAAGGAAAACCACGGGGCAAGGAGGATCTGAAGATACTGGAAGGATCGTTCAAGGCAAAATCCTACAAGCGGAGAGGTAAAGGCAATCCTCAGGAAGAAATCCATCCAACAGAGCCGTGTCTCGATCATCGCGATGAGTTAGCGGAGCCAGATCAAGATGGGATTGTTTTGGTGATATCTAGCCGTGCACGGTTCACGAAATTTTTGGGACTATGCAGCAAAACAAATGGGACTAAGAGAAGGAAGATGGACTGGCTAATTCCCCCTCCGCAGCCATTGCGCGGCACGCGTTCCATACCGGAGATTTCTCAGGGATGGTCCATTGCTGACAAATGTCATAAGGAAAAGGAAATTAAGATAGGGACCATCGCCATATAGTTCATGTACTTAAATGCTAAGAGATGGGGGGTTCTAAAAAACTTTGCTTGAAGGGGATCTTAGTGCCGATTTGGGCTCCGGGTTGCGTGCGCTAGCACACAACAAAAACTAGACTGATCATCCAAATCTGGCATTCCTCAATAGGGATCACTTAGAGGACATTCTCCGTCTCCAAAAAAAAGGTCACACATAGGCGGGCATCTGAGGAGCGGGACTGTCTGTTCACGAAGTTGACGGCAAGCTTGCCAGCATCCCTGATTAGATGAACCAAGGATAGCTACAGCGAGTTGACCGATTTTGGTGACGTGGAATGGAAGGTGATTGAGTACCCGCTACTATCGAATGATGGCCGGGTTGCAGAGGCAAAGATAAAGGACATCATGCGACGTCCTGGAAGTGTTCTCAACAGAGTCACCAATTGGAAGGGCCTCTTCTCGTATGCGCACTGTTTGCACCTATGCGCCTCATAGCCTTCCTTGGTCCATGATTCCCCCTCGGCACTCTCTTGTACGAGAGATGGTTAATTATCTTCTCTCACAACACGGAAATCAACAGGTATATAATCTTGTCAAACGTCGTCCAGAGATTGAATCAAAATTCTCACGGAAATACAACTATGAAGGTGCTAAATGCGAAGATCCGAAGATGATCCAAGAATATTTTGATCGCGTACGAGAGGTTACATTGGAATATGGAATCCTGCCAGAGGATATCTATAATTTTGATGAAACTGGCTTTGCTATGGGACTTTGTGCGACTGCAAAGGTTGTCACTGGAAGTGATCGGTATGCTCGGCCAAAGCTATTACAGCCTGTTAATCGAGAATGGGCAACTGCAATTGAGCAGTTAATTCGATTGGATGGGCCTTGCTTTCGTACGTTATTTTCAAGGCAAAGAAATACACTCGATTAGGCTAGTTTGAGGATCTTCCAGAGAACTAGAAAATCAATATTAGCGATAATGGATGGACGACAGATAAGATTGGATTAAAATGGCTTGAAACCCATTTTATTCCTCTTACTAATGGTCGTACGATGGGAAAATATCGAATGTTGATTCTCGACGGCCATAGAAGTCATTTAACTCCTCAATTTAACTGTACATGTGCTACGAATAATATTTTTTTCAGTCTATATGCCTTCTTATTCCTTACATCTTTTACAGTCTCTTGATGTTGGCTGTATTGCTGTTTTAAAGCAACATTATAGACGGCTTGTTGAACAGCGAATGAGGCTTGGATTCAGTCACATTGATAAAATCAGCTTTCTCACTGCATTTCCAACAGCCCGTACAATGACATACAAAGCTCAAACTATTCGAAATAGCTTTACAGCAACTGGATTAGTACCATTCAATCCAGATCGAGTTTATCAACAGCTTACTGTTCGATTGAAGACTCCAACACCCCCACCAAGTCGATCAAGTGATATATAATCATCCTGCTTACAAACCCCTCAAAATCCACGTCAATTCAAGCGCCAAATGACTACAATTAAGAAGCGAATAAGCCGGCATATAAGGAGTTCATCTGAGGCCATTGATGAGTGTTTACACGGGCGTCAAAGGCTTATGAGATGAGTATTAAAAGCTTGCAATTGCACAGAAGGAACTCCATGATCTACGGGCTGCACATGAGAAGGAGAAGCAAAAACGTCAAAGGTCTAAGCAGCAAATATCTCATGAGCAGGGAATTACCAGAGAGGAAGCTCAAGCACTCGTACAAGGTCAGATTGAAGCATCTCAAGCTGTTACTACTGCTCCGGCCGAGCCTGAGCTCCCAGTCTCCCATCCACCTGTACGACGTCAATTTCGCTGCAGTGGCTGTGGCATTGAAGGACATAAAATAACTAGATGCCCTAATCGTACTAGGAATTAATTTTTTGTATATAATTTGTATGTGGGTTAGAAATCGAGATTTGGATTCAAGATTGTGTACGCGTTTGGGAAAAAATGCCACTTCGCTTACCGATTACGTTATTGAGATGTGTAGCGTGTACGTAATTCCATTGGTTGGGAGTCTCAAACGGTCCAAGTTCCACAACATACGCGTTTCTCGCGTCCGGAATAACGCGTCTCCATTCGTCAGCGAGTCTTTGAATAAACTCCGCTCCCTTTTCTGGTAAACTCCAGGCCTCGCGCTTGGACATCTTATCCATGAGATATGGTACTATCATATGGGACATGACAATGATATCTGATGGACCTTTTTCGGACTTGAGTTTTGCGCATGCGGCTTTGAGCCTATTTTCGGATCGTTTCGGGAGGCTGCTGACGACTTCCGGTTCCAACTTGAATCCATGCGTCCTGAAGAAACGTGGAGCTCTTAGTGGTCCTTGAATCGGCTACCCTTGTAGCGGTGATAGCTTTTTCAAAGATCCCTTGGTATCCACTTATTTCGGCTGTTGTGGATTCCAGTCCTGATTTTGGGGTTGAGGCGCAGAGCCCAGCCAATGAGGCGCCCAATCGCCGGCGGGGACGCACCTGCTCCTTCTGCCAGAACAGAAGCTGGCCGTATTCTCTGGAAAGTTCTTCGAATGAAGGGTCAGGCGGTATGGTACCCGACAGCTTCAGATAGACATCAAGATAAGGTGTAGTCGGTAGAAGTGGGTACTTCAGAAGCGTCTTTGTTACGCTATGCAGATTGATTGTAAAAATCATATTGTACATCAAAACCGGACTGGTCGTGGTGGGGAGGCTCAGTAGAGGATTTTCTCTTTGTGCCGGTCAATTACCGCGATCGTGTACTTGATGGTCAGGTCTGTCATTGCTCGAATCTGCGGAACTCTGCTATCGCTTGTAAAGTGAATTTGTAATATTGTGTATACAGCGACACTAGCTCGAAATACGGTAAATGCGTCAATTTCTCCCAGAGCTTCGGTTAGTTCCTTGATTAAGTTTTTGGCTCGTTCTATGGGGGAGAAAACGTTAGTTGTGGCTGACATGTATTCCGTAGCTGGGCCTGTGATGATGCTTCCTGTTGTCGGCATTTGGCCGGAAAGTAAATGGGAGGTCCTGTTGGATTGTACGTAACAATCTTTAGCGGTATATCTCAACGCATCAAATTATGTATGCAAAGATGTATGGAATCCTTGATCATTCTTGTCATTCTTTTTCTAAGTACAGCAAAGGTGGGAGACGTGTGTGGCTCGATCTGATCTGTCTGATTGGCTAGATCGGCTTAGCTAATCCGACAGGTCCCCTTTCCGGCATTTCGCTGTTGTTTTGACCGTTTCAAAGGTTTGTGAAAAGTGGTGTTTCGTGTCTGCCAAGAAGTTCTCGGTGAACCAATCAGGGTTTAATATTTGGGCAGCAGTAACGTGAGAATTGACCTCCAGATCAATACAGTTGGTAAATTGAGCGTCAGTAGTGTCATGAATATGGGCTGTAGAGAGACTTACTCGCTGATGCTGCTGCCACATTTGTTACCCTTCAAGGACATCTTTCCACTCGTCAATCATGATATTGATCCAATCCTGTAGAATCATACAAAAAGCATCGAATTCATTCCTGTGCCCACCTTAGTCAGCTGCTGAGAAGCCAGGTTTTATAACCTGTTGTTGTCCTTTGCTGCACGCACGTTTCATCGGCCAATCCAGGTATGGAGAGGCTCTCGACGATACCCTTTAATCTATCAAGGAACCATTTATGTGTAATTATTGACTTCTCGAATGTCGATATACGTTTCTCTTCATTCGACTTCTGTGCGCTATCCAGAATTTCGTCATAGTGTTCCAACAACGTCGATCGTAACTCGATGACCTCTAAAAGCTTTGTCTTAATTCTGAGTTCCGCAAGGTTCTTCTCTTGCCGCAGTTTATGTTCGAATTTGGCCAGTATGATCGTGGCAGAAAGACTCCTGTAGTTTTCTCCAACCAATTCCGTGGATACGCGTTTCTCGATGTTCTTTACTGCTGCTATTTTGGATAACATGATGAATCGGCAGAGGAATTGATCTGGAATGTTCGAACGTGGTGGTTTCGAGGGAGGTACGACAACAAGCTTTGGCCCAGCGAGTCGGAGATATCTGGTGAGATCAAATAAGATGCGATCTGTATGAGTGATCATAATATAACTTGGTTTATAAAATGTGATAAAAACTGAAGCCTTTTTGATACTTTTCATGTCATAGACAGCTCAAATGTTTTACCCACACAGGACCCCTAAGGTAGCTTGTGACTACAAAAATGAAAACGATGAGGATGGCAGTAAAGTATCGCAAGATATCAATGAGACAAAAGTGAAGCTGAGGATAGAAATTTAAGCTTGGACACAAATGAAAGACGAAAATCTTTGACAGCAGGATATGTTTATAGCAATTGCATCGTGTTTATTGAAGGGAAACCATTGCTAATGAAATGAACTAACTTACCTATTGTATAATTTGAGAACGACTTTCATTTCCAGACCAGACTTTTAGTAATTCAGTCTATTAAGTGATATTTTGCACAGTTAATTCACGATTCTGAGGGATTATGAGTTGCTTGTGTTGTAGGCAACCAGTGCATAGGCTTCTACATACATCTCATGTCATCCATGTTGCTTGTTTGCCTTACATAAGAATACAATATCCAAGTCTATAGTTATAGGTAGTCGTTTCTCAGGCTCTATCTGCATTAATGACCTCAAAGATTCCTCAATTTCCGATTCTACCATGCCCCAAGGCTGCACGTACTCATGAACTAGCAGGTGAATTTAGCACTCTATCAAAGATTGCCACCTAAGTGGTGAACCAAGACTAGGAAAATTTTTCGAGAAGGATTGCAGTTTTCTGAAAACCCAGGTCTCTGTAGCCTTTTCCAAGGTTTGCGTACTTAAAGTCAGTGTCTGGTAGCTACTGAACATGAGTTTGATGGTCTTGCATTAGGTATAGATGATAGTCTCTCATCGATCCCATCTCAACGACGACGACGCACGTGTGGAAAATAGCACAAGAAAGGTATCCATAATCTTTCTTTCCTCCATAGCCAGTGCTCAATGACATTGAAAGCAACTGAGACTGGTGCAATTTGGAAGCGAGGACTGCTTAGCTCAGTCCCAGTTTTGTCTTCCACCAACTCATATCTCTTCTAGGAAATCGCACCACATCATCCAGCCCCTATAGGGCGACATCTCTTTGAGTGAATGACAAGACAATAGGCCTTTTCGAGCTAAGATTTATAAAGAATATTATCATAAGGATTGAATGAGTGATGTTTATTACGCGCGGAGGGGTTTACCCTATAAAGTTCTGTCTTCCATACTGTCGGATTAGTCGGTTTATTCCAGTCCAATCCTGAAAAGTGTTTTACTAGGATCAAAGAAAAGAAGTGACTAGCAAGATTGTATATATTTTGTTCTCTCTCTGTCTCCGTCTAATACATCAGGTTCAATGCCGGGTCCTTTATAGACACTTTTGGCGGGGTCTTTTGTGAGCTATCATGAGGGGTAAACTTTGAGGGCTATATTGACCCCTGATAAGAAGATGACTCCTTATTTGCTGAAGTGTAGGTGGCTTGAGGTGACTGGATGACCTGATCAAATAGCCTATCTTCTACATCGCCGGATATCCCGGTTATCTGACACATACCACAAAAATGGCTTTCTTATATGTGCTTCAGCACGGGAAATGAGTTCAATTCCCCGGTACATTCTCCGTGATCTACAATATGATATATCATATATGACGTTTCATGAAAAGTGAAACGTAGTGTTCGGAGGCCTCTGATTAGCTGAAAAAAGGGGAATGGCTTGTCTCCAGGTTTGTTCAACTGTCTTTGTTTTCTTCGTGGTAGATCTCGCGATATTCTAACAGATTCTCGGGTCTCTGTCTGATGCGATTCCACTGGGACATCCGTATCGCAATTCGACTTCTTTGTGGAGCAATCCCGCCGTCTCAGCTGCATCCCGAATTGTACAATGGGAAATAGTTAAGGACCCTAACCGGAGCATCACGTCTGTAGATTTGTCTCCAATTCCGGAAATCAAATTCACGCAGAAATGTGAAGTAAGATAGGTTCTCGAATAGTTCAGGACGGCGTTTGTATTTCTCTAATACTGAAAATCCTCGTTGGACAGTTTCATCACCTTCAATCTCAGGCTCGACGGGAACAAATGGGGCGGCATGAACCTCCTCAGGTCGACAGTCAACATTAATACAGATTCGACTTGCGGATTGAAGTGGTATATCAAGAAGCAAATGCAATACTTCTTGGGCCGACCAATCTCGTTCGCCAATCAGACGGTTCATCATCTTACTAACAGCAGACAGAAAAGGGTTTTGAGGATTGAGTTTAGGTAAAAAACCTTTCATCATATCCTTGTAAGATTCCGTTTTTTTCTCGACCTTTGATACGTACTTGGCAATGTAATCCAATAGAGCTCTGCTCCCGGTACCTGGTGCGATGTCGATATTTGCTAGCCATCCCATAAGTATGCAGCGGTTCCAAGCATTTATCATTGCGTCATTGCGAATAGAATAGAAATGATGGTATTGGTGTCCTGGAGCGCGTTCGACGAAAGGCTCTGTCTGTATGCTATGGGGGAAGTGGAAGCGACAGGATACAACATCTGATCCCTTTTCCTTTCGAAAACAATATTTTTTAGAGCAAACATGTCTTTGAACACGATTGGCAACTCGAGAAAGAAAACCGACAGTGTTTTTCTGATCTGCAAATTCCAGCTGTATTGGAGAACGTTCGGTGGTATCTGCTACCATCTGACCGGGTTGGGGATTCAATGCAGAGATATGGATACCCCAAAAGTTGGCAAAGGCTTGACGTAGTTCGAGGGACAAAGGTTCGACTTCTGAATTAGGAGCACCGTTAACCCAGTAGAGGCCATGGTTATGGACTGAGCCATGTCCTTGCCATTCAAATTGGTTCCAGTTGTCGATGACATTGAACCTCTTGTCCAAGACCTCCTTTCTGAACACGTTGGATCGAATCCAGAACCATTGAGCGACAATATGTGGATTATCTCTTAAGTTGTCGCGAGCGATTTGGATTCGTTCCTGTCCTATGGCCGCTCGTTCGAAGTTTGGAAGATGCTGCATGAGATCGGCCCAATGTAAATCAGCAGCTGACAAGGTCAAGAAAAAGATGCGATGGACCAATATTCTTAACCATTGCTTTCAAATGTTGGTGTTTATTCGTCCAAAAAGGACGTATCCCTCGAAGCATCCCAGATCGGCGAGTAATAGAGTTGAGTAAGGCTTCTCCTTCTGGAGTATCATCCTCAAACGCCAGACGTAAATCATCTGCAGTAATTTCACGCCCATCCTTGATCTTTTGTTTGACAAAAAAGCTAGCTTTAGTATTGGCCTGTTGTCTCATCATCGTGTTAAAGACAACATAGCGGAGACGTGGATGGCGGGCAAAACGCCCATCATGAAATTTCATCAAATGCTTTGCGTAATCACCAAAACTAACAGTTCGCTGTCGTGGATAGATATATTCACCTTCTCCACGAGGGAAGAGAGTTGGAAATGCCCATGACAGCAGCGGCTGACTCCGAGTAAACTCTGCAATCGGCGTCGATCTAAAGAGTGGAAATTCCATATGCTGTTGATGAGACTCCTCAGGCTGCAACTGGTTTCGAATTGCTGTCATTTCGTCCTCTTGGGCGAGTAGATCTGGCACTGCACTTAGTTCTGGAGGTTCAACGACCTCTGTATTAGTGCTATCACTTATTTGAACTGGATCAAGTGACTCATTGAATATCTGGTCTGTAACATCACCGTCTAATGGGAGAAGATTGAGGGCCTCCTTGGAGATTTCAATATCTCGATACCCCGGACGGTTGAGGCGTAGAAATGTCAACCATTTGATGATGCGCTCTCGGCGAACACGGAAGTCGTGGATAAACTGTCTTTGTAATCGAGGATCCGTTGACGCATTCACTGGCCGTAACAAAATGATTTCAAGGTTCCTGGGGAGTAGAGGAAGGGTGTTATAAACGCGTGCTGTATCCCTCAGGAAGTCAACGACATGGCCGCTATACTTATATTACTGCCCACGGACCCGGCGGACTTCCACAAATACATGGACTCGTGCAATTAGCATCTCCTCTGTTTGCGACAGTTCGGGCAAATCAGGCATTTCACCAGGATGCATGTTATTTGCAACACCATAGAGAGGGATATCCTGGTCTTTGTCAGCACGGAGACAACGAGCACATGTATTATCAGATGTGAGACGTATATTGAACCATTTCTCGTCACAAACAACACACCACTCCATTCTCTGCTGCTGGAGAGCATTGTGGAACACAGTAGTATACCCCCAGTCAGTTTCTGTCAAAGCAGGTTGGCTAAGGATACGGGTTTCGCCTGGGATATATTGAGGATCAGGTTGGTGCAGATCATGATGAGGAGCAGTTCTCGATGGACGGCGGTTTATCTTGCGTGGGCCCTGGGGTTGGGTACTCGCCGCGTTACTCACTGGGTGAAACGATGGGTCAGTATCCATTGAGGTCACAAACTGGGAGCGGCACGAATTGCAAATATCATGTTCGATTTCATGATCGTCATAGAAGGCAGTTTTGAGGACTTCATGAACTCCACTAACACAAAACTGATATTGCTGATCGGCAGGAATAGTAAGATTCTGACAATATTGACAGATATCAATGCCTTCTGCAATGCGACGACTTGGATGACGTGGTTTATGGCATGTCGTAAAGATAAAGTGGTTGGAAAGGAGCGTCCGACGAGGCGTTGATTGAGAACTAAAACTAAGACGACTGCCACGTCCTCTGTATGATGGGAGAGAGCTAGAGCTGGACCTTCTACTGCTGAATAGAACCAGGGAATCAGGGGTTGAAGATATAGTCCTTAGATGAAAAGAACTAACGCGTCGAGTTGGAATCGCAGTCAACGGGTCCGGGGTAGAGAAATTATAAGTACTAACGACAGCAAGATGATCCGGGGTAGATGAAACTTGACTCTCTGCATGAGGAGTGGAAGGGGGTAGTTGTTGAGCAGAAGGTGGGATATCATGCTCTGCTTCACTCATTGCTTGTGTGGAGAAAGAGGGAGGTTGAGCAAAAAGGGGAATTTCTTGTTCTTGTTCAGCAATATATGTATCCAATCCCTGAGATGGAGGCACGTCTTCCCCAGCTCGTCTTGCAGCACGATGAGCACGTCGATCTTGCTCTCTACGCCGACGAGCTTCAGCAACCTGGGGGCTATCCTGAGAATGAGCACCTCGAAAATGGAAAGAGGGAGCAGAGGACAAGGGAGTATCTTGCTGGCTCTGCTCTACAGTCTGTTGTATGAACTGTTGGGCAGAGAGGCGTTGAGGAGCAATTCTTCGAAGTGACGCGTTAGTTGGCCGCATAAAATGAGGAACATGAATATCTTCGACTGGAGGCTCAGAGACATCCGCGTCGTTGCTCTTGCGTTCTACTCAATTGGCTTGTTTTCTATTGCAACACGTAGAGCAAGTTTTCCAGACACGATTTCCAGTCTTGCTCTTGAAGTCATCAAGTGGCTTCTCAGCTAGACAACTCGAGCATGTCTGTTGCTCAGCCATCGTGGTGAGCGGTGAGAAGGAAAGGTGACGAAATCGAATAACGTGGGAGTTGGGATAAATGAGATAAAAAATGGTGTTGTATGAGTAGGGGAAGGTGTTGAGAGGAACGAAAGTGGCGTGTTGTTGACAACCGAGGATGGAAACAAAGAATAACCCTAAGCTTGTGCCCTAACAAATTTACAAAAGCGGAATATCACGTGGCGTCTCTTTTTTGACCAATTAAATCTCTTGTAAAATATTTGGCAACCAATCGGATCGGAGCTTAAGGACCAATCAGATTGAAGTCGGTCTTACCTGCGGAAGCCATCCTGTAAACTAAGCAGAGCTTACGCTCTGCTAATGATTCATTCCGTTTTTTTCTCTGCTTTTGATGCGTACTTGGCAATGTAATCCAAGAGAGCCTTGCTACCGGTACACGGGGTGATATCAATGTTAGCTAACCATCCCATAAGTATGCAGGGATTCCAGGGATTCATCATTACGTCATTGCGAATAGGATAAAAACGATAGTATTGGTGCCCTGGAGCGCGTTCGACAATAGGCTCTGTCCGTATACTGTGTGGGAAATGGAAGCGGCAGGATAGAACGTCTGATCCTTTCTCTTTTCGTAGACAATATCTCTGACTGCAATTATGTCGTTGAACGCGATTGGCAACACGGGAAAGAAAGCCGACGGTGTTTTCTTGATCTGCGAACTCCAGCTGTATTGGCGATCGTTCTGTGGTATCTGCCACCATCTGACCGGGTTGAGGGTTTAATGCAGATACATGGATCCCCCAGAAATTAGCAAAGGCTTTGCGTAGATCTTCAGATAATTCCTCAACCTCTGAATTAGGAGCATCTTTGACCCAGTAGAGGCCGTGGTTATGGACAGAGCTATGTCCTTGCCATTCAAATCGGTTCCGGTTCTCAATGACATTGAACCTCTTGTCCAAGACCTCCTTTCGAAATGTGTTATATCGAATCCAAAACCACTGAGCGACAATATGTGGATTATCTCTTAAGTTGTCGCGAGCGATTTGGATCCGGTCCTGGCTCATAGCCTCTTTCCATCGTTCAAATTTTGGAAGATGCTGCATGAGATCGGCCCAATGTAAATCAGCAGCAGATACTGTTAGAAAAATATGTGAAGGACCGAATTTTTTAACCATCGCTTTTAACTGCTGTTGCCTATTTGTCCAGAATGGATGCGTGCCTCGAAGCATTCCAGACCGGCGAGTAATCGAGTTGAGCAATGCTTCGCCCTCAGGTGCATCATCTTCAAAAGCAAGACGTAAATCACCTGCTGTAATTTCACGCCCCTCTTTAGTCTTCTGTTTGACCAAAAAGCTGGCTTTAGCATTGGCTTGTTGTCTCATCATAGTGATAAATACAACGTAGCGGAAACGCGGATGACGTGCAAAACGTCCGTCATGAAATTTCATCAAATGCTTTGCATAGTCACTGAAGTTTACCGTTCGCTGTCGTGGATGAATGAATTCGCCTTGGCCACAAGGGAATAGAGTCGGGAAAGCCCAAGAAAGCAATGGTTGACTGCGTGTAAATTCAGCGATAGGCGTTGACCGGAATGGGGGGTATTCCATGTATGGATGACGGGTGTCTTCAGGCTGCAATTAATTCCGAATAGCAGTCATCTGATCTTCTTGAGCGAGTAAATCTGGCACTGCACTGAGCTCAGGAGGTTCGACATCCTCCATGTGAGTCGTATCAGGATTGGTCTCAATTGGATCAAGCGACTCGTTTATCACCTGATCTGCAACGTCATCGTCTAGGGGTAAAAGATCAATAGTTGCCTGAAATATTTCAATATTACGATAGCGAGGATGGTTCGACCGCAGGAAAGCCAACCACTTGATTATGTGCTCTCGACGAACACGAAAGTCATGAATAAATTGCCTTTGTAGACGTGGATCGGTAGAGGCATTGGCAGGCCGCAACAGAATTATTTCCAAATTCCGGGGGAGAAGTGGAAGCGTGTTGTACACGCGTGCTGTATCTCTGAGGAAATTAACGACGTGTCCGCTATATTTATACTGCTGGCCACGAACACGCCAAACTTCAACAAATACGTGGACTCTGGTGATAAGCATTTCCTCGGTTTGTGGCAATTCTGGTAGGTCTGGCATATCTCCGGGATGCATGTTGTTTTCAATGCCATATAGCGGAACGGTCTGGTCTTTATCAGCACGGAAACAAGGAGTACAGATACTATCAGGTGCAAGGCGCATATTAAACCATTTCTCGTCACAAACACAGCACTGCTCTATCCTCTGCTGTTGTAGAGCACTATGAAATGCAGTAATATACCCCCAATCAGTGTCAGTCAAAGCGGGTTGGCTAAGACTGGATGGTTCACCTAGAACATACGGAGGATCGGGTTGATGGAGGTCATAGTCAGGAGAAGTTTGTGAAACACGGCGGTTGGTAATGCGTGGACGCCGAGCTTCGTTGCTCGCAGCGCTACTTACTGGGTGGAACGACGGGTCAGTATCCATAGGAGTTATAAATTGGGAGCGACACAAATTGCAAATATCATGTTCAATTCCAAGGGTATCATAGAAGGCAGTTTTCAGGACTTCATGCTCGCCACTAACGCAAAATTGATACACAGGAATGGTGAGGTCTTGACAATATTGACAGATATCAATGCCTTCTACAATACGACAACTCGGATGTCGCGGTTTCTGGCATGCTGTACAAATGAAGTGATTGGAAAGGAGGGTCCGACGAATCGTTGATTGGGAACCAAAACTAAGACGACTTCCGCGTCCTCGATATGGTGGCAGTGAGCTAGCACTGGACCTTCTACTGCTGAAGGCCAGGGGATCAGGAGTCGAGGATACGGTTCTCGGTTGAATAGAACTGACAAATCGATTCGTAATCGTAGTCAATGGGTCCGGGGTAGAGGAATTATCAATACTAATGACAGCCAGAGGATCAGGGGTACCCGTGCCGCCAAGCCCGCGACCACACGCTACGCGTGTGGGTGCGCGTCACATAAGTGGAATTGTCAGATAAATGATTTTTTGTACGGAAATTGCTAACAAATTTACATTCTCTCGTCAACCCAACGAATCAAATTTGGATCTGAGCATCTTGGGTAAGCCTGTTCAATCAAATTCAATAGAGTATTACGATCAATCGCCGCCTCGTCACTTGGTGTAAGCGGGGGATGCATTGATCCCAATAGTGCTTGCCGTAGCTCTTTGAGCCTCTTCCTCTCGGCCTTCTTTTCCTCAGCTGTAGCACGCTTTTTGATGGCTCTATTTGCATCCTTTACAGTGAGGATACCTCCAATTTGCACCTGGCGCTTATTTTTTTTTTTTTTTTGGCGGATTTGCGTTCATTGAGCGTTTGGATGCGCTCGATTTGAGCCTGTTGTTGATCTTTAAGATGGGCCTGCGTGAGGCTTCCGTCAAAAATCTTTTTTAGACTCCTCCGGATACTAGGAATCACGTTGGAAATCTCATTTAGCTGGGCGTCAACCTTAGTAATTGATCTTTGAAGCTTATACGTAGTAGTTGGCGGAGAAAATGAACCATTTGTGGGTGAACTTGAGATATCTGGCTCCTCATTGCCATCATAAATTAGCAACTCTTGCCCTTCTTGGAGGTCCCATTTCTCAATTAAAGGACCGACAATTATCTCTGGATTGAAAGGCCAAAGCCCACGCGCAGAAAATCCATTCCGGATAACTCGTGGAGTAAGGGCGTCAGCGCGTACACGAGCAATATTGGCCAAAAAATCGATCTTATCGTAAAAATAACCTCCAAGGTGCGCTTACTCGTTGATAGCCCTTCTATGAACGCGTTTATATTGTAAGAATGGCAATCCATCTAGAGGCTGTAAAAGATGCGTTGTATGAGGCGGAAAAGCAAAGGGAATAATCCTATAGTCGTCGCAATAGGATAAGAACTCAGACGTAAGATGAGCCTCATGATTATCCATAAAAAGTAGACGAAAATTGTTTCCTGCTTGTTCTCGTGTATGCTCATTGAAATGTTTGAGCCAATCGTACGCAATCTCATCATTTGAAAAGCCTGTTTCGCTTATAGTCACTTTCCACTCATCTTCTTTGAGATATTGGAACCAGCTCTCAAGGATAACCTTTCCAGTAAAAATAAGCAATGGAGGAATCGTATTCCCAACCGCGCTTATACCCTCTATTGTGGGAACCAATTCCCGTGAAGAAGAGCTAGGAACGTGCCTTAAAGCATCCGGATATCTTGATGATGGGCTAGAGAGAGTGATATTGAGAAGTCTAACTAACTATCTGAGATCCGTGGCGTGCGAGGTTGATGTCCTTGCTACGATCACGCTAGGCCCAATGCGGTACCGACGTCTACCTGTATGGCGGTGGTCCCGTGACCCCCCCCGTAGACGCGGCATAATGAAAATGAAGTTAAAGTACACATAGAAAGGAAACTCGGGAGGCACAACTTGGTGTTGAGAAAATCTCGTAAACCTCACAACCATGAAAAATCAACATGCCTCCACTCCAATTTGATTCCGGAATTTGTCGAATAGCTCCGTCGTGAGCGCCTTTGTAAGTCCGTCTGCGGGGTTTTCCTTTGTGTCGATTCTCTTGAGAATAACCTCCCCTTTGTCGATCAAATCCTTCATGAAGTGGTAATGGATGCGTAGCCATCTCACTGCTTGAGCAGTACCGGGTTTGTGCGACGCCGTCATCGCGTTATTGCTGTCGGTGTAAACAACTAGGGGTTCTCCTTTCTTCACCAATCCTAGGCTTATCAGCATATTTTGTATCCATAATCCTTGCCTTATCCCGCTTCCTACTCCCAAGTATTCGGATACGGTCGATGACGGGGCGACGAGGGTTTGCTTTGAAGAGTTCCACGAGATCGGTGATCCGGCGTAGAAAATGATAAATCCCTCGGTGGATTTGCCATTGGGGTGATCGGCGTGTGAGGAATCGACGTACACCTCGAGTCCTTTGCTGGGGTATTTGTTCAACGTGATACCATACTTTTTGGTGCCTTTCAAATAGCGTAGCACTCCCTTTCCGGCGACATAGTCGTACTTTGTGGGATCGTGTTGCTTATGCTGTAAACGGCGTACAGTAAACGTGATATCGGGTCTAGTTTTTGATGTCAACCAGTTAGCCGATCCTGTGATCTTCACAAACTTTTCTTTCTCGTCATCAGTGGCTTTTGGGTCATTTGATTCCAGGGTAAATTTGGGTTCCAAGGGTAGGGAGCGGGGATGGGAATCCGCCATGCTGAAACGGTTGAGAATGCCATCAACGTAGTCCGATTGTTCCAATTTGATCGTATCCTTCTCGCGGTGAACGTTGATGCCAAGAAAACGCTTTGGTTCACCAATTCGCTTAACTCCCCATGCCTTGTCGAAAGTGTCAAGAATCCCATCGATTTGTGCCTCGCACTTGCCTGCAATGAGATTATCATCGACGTAGAGTGCAATGGCCATGCCGTCGCTTTCCCGTATGAAGATGCATGGTTCCTCGTTGATCGGTTTGTAACCCAATTCTTTTAATTTTGAACTTATGGTGTCATACCACAGGACTGCCGATCCACGTAGGCCATACAGTGCTTTTAGTAAAGAGCAAACCATTCCGTCAATAATATCAACACCTTTTAGTTGTTCCACAAGGACCTGGCGTCGCTGCAGCATCGCGTGTAAATACGCAGTAATGATGTCTGCTTGGAAGATTTTGAGGCCGTTCTTAATGCAATAAGTGAGGAAAATCTTCACTCCAACGTCGCTGACCACTGGTGAGTAATTATTCTCGTTATCCTTTACCTCAAAGTTGCCACAAACAACCCATCTTGCTCGGAATTCGGTAACATTTGACTCATCGTCCGCTTTGACGTCGTAAACCCACTTTCCAGGTAAAATCTTTGCACTATTCTTGGGCTTCGGTACTAGCTTCCATGTCTCGTTCGCACGTAGCTTTTCAACTTGGTCCTGCATTGCCTTTTTCCACAGGTCTCGGAGTGGTGATTTAAGCATCTGGCGATCGTTGCCAGGAATCTCCACCTCCCACTTTTTGAGTTTGGGAATAATGTCAGGAATTGCCGAGGCTTGCAAATTTGTGTTGATATTGAGTCGAACCATGGTTTCTGATGTGGAGTGTGTCGAACTAGCTTTTTGTTCTTTCTTTGCACGTCGCTGTTCTTGCTCTCTCTCCTGTTCCTCCATGAGAGTCAACATCAATCTCATCCCTTTGTTCTTTCGTGAAGAAACTCGTGTTGTAATGTTTTTATGAGTCATCTCTTGTACGGGCGTGTCATCATCCATACGTGCGGGGGCTTCTTCGTGCATCGAATCGTTGGTATCGTTGTGCTCGACCGACTCATATACGGTTTCCAGACTCGTGATGCCATCAACCAAGGCTTGTTCGTTGTTCATGATTTGAGCTTGCTCCTTGATGAGAGCTTTTTGTTGTGAGATTTTCTTCCGAATTATCTCAAGAGCCTCTTCCGTTGTAGCATCGACTGACCCCTCCGCTTCTGCATCAAAAAATTCTTCTTGATCACTCTCATCCGCGCGATCTTGCTCATGAGTTCGCTCCGGGGTTGTGCTCAGAGTTTCTGCTCTGCCTGTCACGTACGCGTTCTGTTCGAAGTCGTAATAATTGCTGTTCAAGATATCTTCAATTGTGAGATTCTCATCAGCGATTGTGATACGTTTCTGATTCTTCTCGACAGGATCTTTATGGAAGATGATTGTGAGCGGTTTTGACATCTCAACCTTTGTCGTAGTTGGTGTCGGGTCCTCGATCTCATCAATCATGCCGTCTTCTGGACCTTCCCAAAAAGTGACGTCTCGTGAAAATTTGACGTCTCCCGTTGCTGGAAACCAAATCTTGTAAATGTGACCGTGATCGCCCATGTAGCCCATGAGACGTCCGATCTCAGTTTTCGGTAGCATCTTGCGTGCCTTTACACGATCTTCCTCTGGTATGTGCATGTAGGCTTTGCAACCCCATACGCGCAAATGTTCAAGATGGGGAATAGGATTTGGAAATCCCAATTCCTCACGCCATTGTTGTATAGGCGCCTTCTCCTGTCCTGGCTTGACAAGGCGTGCCACTGTATAACACGCTGTCTCCACTGCAAATGGCCACAAATATTCGGGTAGCCCTGCATCAATCATCATTACCCTTGCGATTTGAGCAAGGTAAAACTGAAGCCATTCGATTGGTCCATTTGGTTCGGGGGTTCGTGCTGGAGATTCCCTGAATTGGATGCCAGTTTGATTTTCTTTAGACCATTTGATGAATCTGAAGAATTCTCGCCCTTGATCTTTTGTGATGATCACTGGCCAATTCCCCGTCTGATTTTTGAACTCCGTGCAGTAGTCATGCACTTATCCGAAGCTTCACCTTTTGTGACGTGGAAACGAACGTCTGGCATACGCGTTTTGTCGTCGAGGAACGCTGTGAAGTAGTTGTACCCGTTAAACCCTGTCGGCTTTATGTGCTGAACGTCGACGTAGACAATCTGTCCGGCTTTCAATGCTTTCGGCAGCGGATCGTGGGACACAATGCGTTTCGATTTCCCGAGTCTGCAGGATTCACAGTGCTTAATCTTTTCTTTGATCGCTTCAAGATCATAAGCCTGAGCTGTGCCCTTACGAATCACGTCGCTGGCATGGCCAAGTCGTCGATGTTGCAACTCTGCTGAGATTGCAGATAGATTAAGCGCTCCAAATTGAAGCTCTTTCCCGGTTGTCATGGTTCTGAGAATTGGGACGCCTCCTACAACTGTAGTATGGCCAATAACTGAATCATCATCCATTCTTCGTACGGTGCAGTCTTTGCTGCAATACCATACTTTGCTCTCATCCTTTGCTCGCTCGCATGCCCAAAGGTTGTATTTCAATCCAGGTACATAGTATGTGCGAGTCAAAAGCTCAGCTGGTCTGTCCTCGCCGTTGTCGAATCGTATGAGTGTTGTGCCATATCCCGTGGCCTTTGCCTCCATGCCGTTGCTGCATTCGTACGTATAGGCTTCATCGTCGTCTTTGTATTTGTAGATTTCCACCCAGCTTGCGAAATCTCCAGCCATGCTGTGTCCAGCGCCAGAGTCGGCAACGAACTTTCCAATAAGGCTTTCTGGTGTGGTCGCTGAGAGTGCCATTGCTAAGGCTTTTGATTTGGGCATATTCTCTTTGTCGATTGGTTGTTCAACGTGCTCTGCGAACGCTTCGGTGTCAATAGCTGCGCCACCGATATTTGGCATAAAGAAATCGGATGAAAGTGCAAAAGACGAGACATTCATAGTTGTAGATGTTTTTGTCGCAGTGTCTCCGTCATTTTTAGTCTCTTGTTGTTTTGGTGCCGCTCTGTCTCTGTAACACCATAAATCCAATTTTGGATACCAATTTGGTGGAGGTGAATCTGCAAGATAATAGCACTTTGAGCAACCATGGCCCTTTATACCACAGTATCCGCAGTTGTCGTCTCTGCTTCTCCATTTGCGTAGCTTCTTGAGCCACTCCTCCACCGACACTCCTGGCTTTGGGGCATTCCGCTTTTTCTCGTTGGGGGTATCTGGGTCTCGCTCCTTCCTCTTCTTATCCTCTCTCCCATCAGTTGACTTTGGAGTTGCTGGTGTGGAAGGATTGAAGTTGTTTGCAGCGTTGCCCATACTGAATTTGAGACCTTGGCATTTTTCTAACGCCTCGGAACACAACTGATGAAAATCGTCCATATTTTTGCTCTTCACGTCCTTGTATTGCTCCATCTTGAGTGTGACCCATGTAGGGAGATCCGTCTCAATGGAGTGAAGGAGAGTGATGATGAGTTGACATGGCTGAACACCGAAACCGTCGCGTTCGGCGTCGCTGTGCTTTGCGCGGAGGGCATGGATATATGCCTCACAAGTTGCATATTGATGTCTGTCGCATTTTCTGAAGTCTGTCCAAGCTCGCCAACCGGCTTGTGAATCGGCTTCTCCCTTGCAAATAGTTCGAATTGCTGCCAATAGGTCATCTGCGTAATCAACATTGACAGTTATGGTTTGGACTTTTGTGCCAACGTCTCGACTGAGCGTTGCAGAAAGCCAACCTGCCACTTTGAGTGACAGCTTCTTCCAGATTTTGTAGTGAGCTGACCCAACATGAGGTCGTGGGATGCTCTTGTCGATAAGGTCGAGTAGATCGTTTCCTAAGAGCTCGCGTCGTACGGCTTGATACCATCGATTGTAATCATCTGCTCCTTGTAGGACTTGGATCGGCGTCAAAGTGATGCTTTGGCCGTCCTTTGGGATCTCCGTGGCTTGATCTATCACTGTAGGATGATTCACCACTCCTGTATTTGTGACATGACCTTGTTGACCTGTTTGGCCGTTTCGGTCTGTCTGTCGAGATGAGCCTTGTTGGCCATCGTTCTGGTCACCTTCTCCCCCAGTCATGCTGATAGGGACTTGGTTGTTTGAAAAGGGTGTTGATCCGTGATCAGAGGTTGAGGAATCGTATTGAAACGACCTGTTCAAAAGAAATCCAGGCGCATAACCTGATGATGGGCCAGAGAGAGTGATATTGAGAAGTCTAACTAACTATCTGAGATCCGTGGCGTGCGAGGTTGATGTCCTTGCTACGATCACGCTAGGCCCAATGCGGTACCGACGTCTACCTGTATGGCGGTGGTCCCGTGATATCTTGTTACAACTTCTTCATCCCCCCCTTGTCCAATTTGAAATCCAGATTTGTCAAAGTTCCAAATATTAGATGGTGTAATCTTATAGCGTTCTATTGCAGTTTCTAGACGGTCAAACCAGGCCTGTATAAAGCTCGGGTCCTCAGCAAGATGTCGCTTTGGATCAATAGTCTTTTGCTTCATTTTGACGTATTCTTTGGGCAGTCGTTTGAGGAAGCGATAGACCCAGCGATCCCCGAGTTGAGGGGGGTTATCCGCGCCGGGGTGCATATTTTGAAGCACTTTATCCGCGTAGTTTTTAATCATGCGGACGGTTGGAGGGATTCCTCTATCATCTAGATCATTCATCCATAGAATTATAGCGCGTTCTTGATCCTCCGTCAATCGCTTGTGCGTTGGTCGTCGGTTTAGTTGAGAAGTGCCGCCTAACACGCGTCGCCGGAGCCGTTAGTAATCCACGCCAAATTGACGCGCCAACGGCTTGATTTTTTGCCCCGGGTTTTTCCTAAGTATCTCTAAGGCCTCTGAGATCCTGTTTTCCTCTTCTTTATACTTCTCGGATGGCATTTTGGTAGTGTTTTGGGGGTTTGTAATGATATGGGGAGTTTGAAATACCAAAAAATATCATTTATCTGACAATTTCACTTATGTGACGCGCACCCTCACCCGCTTCGCTGGTGAGGTGCGCGCTAGCGGCACGGGTAGATGAAAACTTGACTCTCTGCATGAGGAGTGGAAGGGGGCGGTTGTTGAGCAGAAGGAGGTATAGTGGTGTGGAGAAAGGAGGAGGTTGAGTAGAGGGGGGATTCTCTTGCTCTTGCTGAGCAATGTACGTATCCAATCCCTGAGATGGAGGCACGTCTTCCCCAGCTCGTCTTGCAGCACGATGAGCACGTCGATCTTGCTCTCTACGCCGACGAGCTTCAGCAACCTGCGGTGTATCCTGAGAGTGAGCACCTCGAAAATGGAAAGAGGGAGCAGAAGACGAGAGGGTATCTTGCTGACTCTGCTCTATAGTATGTTGCAAGAAGTGTTGGGCAGAGACGCATTGAGGGGCAATTCTTCGAAGTGAGGCATTAATTGGCCGCATGAAATGAGGAACATGAGTATCCTCAACTGGAGGCTCAGGGACGTCCGCTTCGTTTGCTTTTCCTTTTAGGAGCACGATTATCTTGTCTTTTATTTCGACACGTAAGACACGTCTTTCAAGTCCGATTGCCAGTTTTGTTCTTAAACTGGTCTAGGGGCTTGTCAGTTCCACAGCCCGAGCATGTCTGACGAGGCTCAGCCATCACGGCGAGCGGTGAAAAGGAACGGTATGGAAACCTAATGAGGGAAGCGTGGAGTAGGTGGTAAAAGGATATGAAGAAGGAGGAAAGTAGTGGTGTTGTTGTTGACAACGCGATGGTGGAAATTATGCGGGGAATATAAAACCCTAGATTATTGCCCTAACTACAATCCTGAAGCTGTCGAAACGTTGGTTTACTAGAGCGATGACTAAGCGAAGGCGAGCACTAAACAATATATACGTATAGGGAACTTGTCAAATAATCCAGATTACAAACGAGGCAGAGAGATCCGACGTTCGATCTTATAGGTCTAAAAAAAGGCACCTTAGGGCATATATCTGCGCACCTAGATTTCAGCCCAAAATTTACCCCTGATGAGAGACGGAGAACCGAATACATACAATCTTGCTAGTCACTTCTTTTCTTTTCATCCCAGTAAAACCCTCATTAGCAAAAGAGGTAAGACGTGTACTAACCAAAGAACAGGGACAAGCTCCTTCTCAAAGGAAAGAACGATCTCGCTCTAGAAGTCGATCCCAAGAGCGACGAGAACCTACGGCTCAAAATACTCAGAATGAGGCCACTTTCCAAGGAGAAACAGCAAGTTCGAATTGACTCTTTAAGTCGGCTGTAGGCAGCTGCAAATCGACTTGCTATGTTCGCATGGAAAAGGATTTGGCTGCACTGTCAATTAACGAATATCCTTTAAAACATTCAGCTTTATTGGATTCAGGGTCATCAATTCACGTTTTCAATGAGATAGAAAGGTTTGTGAACTTCCGGAAAGCAACGGCAGGAGACTTCTTATGGGCAGGCACCCACCAAGTACCTATCTTAGGATATGGAGAAGTGGATATCGAAATCCACGGCCTTGGTGGAAGACTTCAGATTCTGCGCCTTTATAACGTGGCATACTGCAAGGACTTTGTGGCAAACCTGGTGTCTTTCCAACAACTAAGAAAGCAAGGAATCTGGTGGGACACCAGAAGAGGCTTTGATTGCCTTCGGAACGAGAAAAATCAAGTCCTTGCGTATGTAAGAGAAAAGGAAGGTTAATTCGTACTCGAACATATCGCCAACGACCATCCTCTCGTAAAAACGGCCTTTATGATACGACGACACCGCTTCAATTCGTGGACAGTCAGAAAAGAACGAAAAGCTGACGCTAAGAAATGGCACGCTCGCTTTGGCCATCCTGGACCCCAAGCTATCGAACACCTTGCCACAACGACAAAAGGTGTAAGAGTGACTGGCCTATCCAAAGGTCCTACCACCGTACAGTGTGAAGCCTGTAGAAGGGCAAAAGCCAGACAAATCATACGACGAGAAAAAGAAATATTGTGGAACGACCTGGGCGAGCCCATGGAACTGATTGGTCAACTGCCTTTCGTATAGTTGCCGTAAAAGCCACTGTTGCAAGCTCAATATGAGATTTTAACGCATTCGTGAGGATTGGCACGGTGATTTGGCTAAGCAGTTCGTGCAGTAATTTGACACTTGTGGCTGCCCAGTTACGGCGATGTGGTAGTTCGTAGGTCGGAGTGTCGATATCGATCTGCATTCTAATTGGCCTGTGATCTGAGTCATGTTGTATCTCATCAGCGCGCTCATGCAATATAAGTCGATTAAATAACGATGTAGAGAGGAATGTTAGGTCAATGGTCGATTGTGATTGGCCACGCTCCCAGGTGACTACTCCTTCCTCAGTAGTGAGCTCGATTCCATGGCGATCCATGATTTCAAGTAATTTGGTGGCTTGTTCGTCGATTTTTGTGCCAGGGCCACCCCAGGCTGGATGGTGAACATTCATATCCCCAAGCACTAGGTGTGCTGAGGTTCGTGAGCTTCCTAATCAATTTAGCTCCCGTTCCACGTGTGTGCAAAAGTAGCTGAACGTGTCTCACTATAGATATTGTGGATGTAGAGATCATGTGGTTCGTACGATTCAGGATTGGAGTTGGGTAGACGGCGTTGATAGCGAATATGTAGAATTTGGTAATCAGGCGACACAACAGTGTGAGACCAGCTGGCTGGATCGATACTTTTATTAACGAATAAGGCCACACGGGCTCTTTGATTGTTCTTTGATTTGGGATAGAGTAGTTGGTGCGTGAGCCTTGCAGGTTGGTGTGTTGTATCATTCAATTCGTTTCTCCATGGTTCTTGGATTGCAATAACGGAGGCACGGAGGACTCGGGGATCGCGTAGAAATGTGGCCATGACCTCATCCTTTGATTTGTGCGTATTGTACTGTATAACTTCGAATAGTGTACTCATTGACTGAGGGCATCCGGAGAGGAGGGTGTGATCATGCTTCGTATAGTCTGTAGGCCATCTTCCTCAGCTTCCTCCTGGATGTGGGGTGCGTGTTGACGTTGGCTAGGCCTAAATCTATTCAGGAGCTCTGTATAGCCCTCTGAATCAATAGTCATGTTTTGATTGAGTTCACGATAACTAGCCGTACTGCTTAGGATGATGTTATTGTTATCCATCGTCATGCTCATATGAGGCTGCGGTATCTGGGGCAACGGTATTTCATCTGATTCATGAGATTGTGCACGTAGCTGGCGCATCTGGACACTTTTTCTGCGTAGCTGTTCGGCGCGGGTTTTGGACCTTGATTGATTGATTCATACACGCATCTAAGCCTAGTGGCCGGCGGCGCCTTCTAATTGGGCAGCGGGCGTACTGCCGTACAAAAGCATAAATCAACGTCAACGTGCCAAGACTTCCGGCTTGGCGCTGGCTCAATTAACACCACGCGAAAATCCCAACACATATCCGTATCCAGATCCGAAGAACACCAACAGGTAACGAGCGAACAGAACGCCGAAATAACAAAGGAAATGTGTATACATACAAAAGGAGTGAAGGATCTCGGTGCGGGATGACGTGATATATGTGCTTTGGTGCCCGGTTCTATTTCTAAACGTGTCGAGTGGCTGATCCGTGCGAGCCGAATCAACGTGGTTACTCTTCATCGAGACAGTGTCGCACTCACTGTGAGCGCGTGGTTATTAGGAGGATTGCGTGACGGAACTGTGTCAATAGACCAGTCTGCATCATGAAATCGATACTCTGCCGAACCCACTGAGGTTCGCTGAGGAGCTTTCGATAGTCTGTTTCGCGTGCTTCTTTCCAGAGGGTCTCCAAACGTAGGTTTATATGGATAGGGCACCGTACGAGGACGTGGGCCGTATCCTGATCTCCAAGGCCACATTGGCATTGAGGTGAGTCTTCAATCCGTACGCTCGCTAGGAAGCTGCGTAGCGCTGATTTACCTGTTTGTAGTTGGATCAACACCGAACTCCAAGTCCGTCGTAATCCTTCGTGCAGCTGCAACACCATCTTCGTTGGCTCTTTGATTATCCGATAGAGATGCCGTCCATGCTTGGCATGCTCCCACTGGTCCTTCCACCACTTTGCAAAGCCTGCATGTAGTCTCTGGCGACACACTGCAACAAGGATAGTTGACTGATTTGGAATATATGACATTCGTGCGGCGTGTGGTGTAGTCTGGTTGGGTGCATTGATCCTGGCTATACGGGCGTTCTCTTGTGTACGCTGTGTCGCCTCAACTGCAGCCAACTTTGCAAGTTGGTCTGCTTTCTCGTTGCCTGGGACCCCTTCGTGGCCTGGGACCCACTGTAGTCGTACACGCCATCGGGATCGGTTGTCGCGTAGGAGGCCCAGGTGTCGTACGATCCGTCGGATGATATACTGCCCAGAGGACCGCCCTGGCTGGCACGTGGCGCGTATCGCGGCTTGATTATCTGTGTAGATCGTGGCTTCGTGTGGGTTGTCGCCGCGTGGCTGGCTTCGGAGTAGGATTTCCAATGCCGCGTCGATTCCCTCCAGCTCCCCTGCGTAAACAGTATGTGTATCAGATGAGCCTACTGGCTTATACGCCTGTCCTATTGATGAGTAGACTGCTGCCCCAATCCCATTGTCAAAGCCACTTCCGTCGGTAAAGAACTGTATTGTTGTATCTGTTCCTGAGGTTGCTTCAATAGCCTTAATAGCCTCCTCACGGGTGTCGTTAATCCTTGCTTCTGGTGGCTCCCACCATGGTGGCACTACAAAGGCGTAGATCGTCTCGATACGTTGACTAGTATCACGTCCAAGTTTGCGGTTGATGGCTGTTTCCAATCGGTGAAGTGGCGACGTGTATGGGTCGTTACGGTGGGCTTGGCCACGTATATGGTAAAGCGTAGATCGAAGTGGCGAGGTCATGATCCGCAGGCAGGCCTCCTCAGCCAGCTTTGCGAGCGTGAGCTCTGCAGGTGGTACGTGGAGGCAGACCTCTAGGGCCTGTTGTGACGTACGTTTGAAGGCGCCAGATATCCGGTGAAGGGCCTGATCCTGGATCGATCGGATAGCTTGCTCCGCAGCCCGTTGCGCACCAGTGAAGCCTCTTCCACCTCGTATATACCACGTGGAGCACGCGTACATGATTTGTGGCTGGAGAACAGCCGTGTATATTTTCCGTAGATGAACCAGGGGCGTTCCCCATGTCGATCCTGCGGTTGAGCTTAATCCCGCCACCAATTTTGCCGCCTTCTCTCTCATCTCCTGTACGTGCACTTCCCCGGTGAGGTGGGTATCCAGATAGACCCCGAGATATTTGATCGAGTCCACAGGCTTGATTTCCACTCCCTTGATTATGAGAGGCATATCCAGCCTAACCCTTGGTTTAGGCACCATTTGGTGCTTCCGCCAGAAGTGGGTAGTTGATATTTGGCAGGTGCGAATTTAGAGGCATGAGTCCTCTCCCAGCGCTCTGCAACTTGGTGCGCTTTGGTGAGTGTGCAGCAGTTGGCTGCGGCGGAGGTCCCAAACGCCATATCGTCAATATATCCAAGTACGACCACGTCCGGGCACTCGGCGAGTATCTGCTCAATAAGGTCTGCATTAAAGAATAGGAATAAGATTCGTGACAGTGGGGAGCCCTGTGGGATGCCCGTATTGACTGGAAATTCCCCCATATTGCCCTCTAGGAGCGTGATTGACGTGCGGTGATTGCTTAGAAAGCTCTCAATCCAGCCAATCAGGTCCTCTGGCACCAGGCGCTTTCGTAGGTCGTGTATCAGCCTTATATGATTGACGTTATCAAAAGCCCCCGCCGCGTCAAGTGCAAGCCCTGAGGCTACTCGTGAGCCCTCTCTCCACGCACTATGGGTCTCTTCTAGTAGGAGATGGATTGCCAGCTCGCATGAGCGGCCGCGACGTCCTCCAATATGTTGCTTTGGTAGAAGATTGTATTGCTCCACTAGATAGCTGAGCCTCCTGGCTAACACTGATTCTAGTGCTTTACCAATCGTGCTTAGTAACGCTATTGGGCGGTATGCTTTTGGGTCAGAGTAATCAGGCTTTCCAGGCTTGCGAAGGATGACTGTTGTCGACCTTCGGAAGTGGTCAGTAGTAGTAGTAGTAGTAGTAGTAGTAGTATTGATATACCCGCTGTAGCTGGCCGCTGACTAAGAGCCGCTATCCAGGTGTGTGCCTAAGCCTGCAGGCACCAAGAGATCCGCGGCCCAGCCACGGGTGGTGCGCCATAGAGGCGCGCCACAGAGAAACGGAAGCTAAGGAAACAAGAATAACGAATGCAAACATGTCAAACAAACAAATAAATCAAACATCTTGGTCGGCTAGTGCGCGTACGCCCCGCCTACAAGAATTCCCAAATTCTTTACAAGTCCTCTGAACTGCACCAGTTCGCTTCAAACCCACATATCCTGTATTCCTCATAAAAATCTGCGTATCTCACCCTTCGCAAATCCGAATTGTACGTCCTCTACATTGCATCCCGTTGGCTGGCTCTGAATCACTTGATCCAAGGCTCGTATTCGTGTCAATCCTGGTCCTTACTGATAACGACGTCGACCTGGAACGCACGTCATCTACGTGCGTGTTCGTACATGTTCCCACGTCAGTGTCCTTGTCATTTGCAGGCTCCAATTGAGCCGCTGTTTCTGCGCTTTCATAGGTGCCAACTGCTTCCGGATCTACCTCACGGGATTGATCAAGCACTCGCGTGTCAATGATGAACTGCGCGATTGCAATTGCAGCCTTTTTTTCCTTGAGTAATGCTTGCAGATCTGTTGTGCGTCGGAATCCCTTGATTCGTGACCACATGAGACCGCGTTCATTCTCATACAGTGGGCATTCCATGAGGATATGTCGTACTGATTGACCAGATAGGCCGCAGGCACAGTATGGTTGTTCTCGCCTGTTAATTCGCCACAGATAGTGCGCTAGCCCGATTCGTTCGGTACGCAGCTGTATCAGTATTGACGATGTTGCTTTGCGGAGAAAGGTCCAATATTGGAGTGTGCGCTTGGAAGGCTGAGTGACAAGTTTTTTGGTAGGTTTCCCTGCCTTTTGCTTGTCCCACCGTCTCTCCCAGGCATCCTTGGTTGATTGGCGTATTCTGCGTTTTGCAGCTGCTGCGAGTATGGTCCATCCTTCACTTGATAGATCTCCAGGTACGATTTGCCTTCGTGCACCCATTAGAGCCGCACGTTTTGCAGCCCTGTCTGCAGCTTCATTTCCAGGAACACCCTCATGGCCTGGAATCCACCTCAGTGTTACATCGATGTCCTCATCCGTACACTTCCTCAGTGAATCGACACAGCCCTGAATGTACGTTTGACCAGAGACCATACGCAGGTTCATGAGAGTTTTAAGCGCGGCTTGGCTATCTGAGAAAATAACTAGTTTCTTGGTTCGTATGTCCTGGTCTGCAATTTGAAGCGCAGTTTCGAGCGCGAATTTGATCCCACAGACCTCAGCTGCGTATACTGTTGAGGTGCCTTCCGTACCAATACACTCCGTTCGTTGTTTTCTGAATGTTGGAAGACCATGGACGCGCCAATATAGCCTTGATATCCACTGCCGTCCGTGTATATTGCGATATGCTCATTCTTGCATGTGATGTCGTTATGTACTGATACTGCCTTCTCTCGCTCATCAATCACAACCTTTGGAGGCTCATGCCACGGTGCCTGAACGTATGCAGATCGGCTCTCCCATTTCCCTGCCAAGGTTCCGGGGGGAGCCAATAAGCATCCGCCCTTCTTCCAGGCATGAGCTTCCATGGGAGTGTATCCGCCAAGCTTGAGTTCGCCGCTGGTGCGTCGATTGACTAGGCCGTCAGGAATTGCAAAGGCAGGACCTGTGCGGATCCGGATGGCTACAGCCTTTGTGAGTTGATCCAGTTGCAACCGGATTGGCATTAGGTGAAGCTCTATATTGAGGGCCTCCGCAGCCGTTGTACGAAAAGCACCGCTGATCAGGCACGCTGCGCGCTTTTGGATAGTTGTAAATTTGCGTACAGTTTGTGTAATTTGCCTCTGGCTCATGAGGTCTGGTTGGAACCAGGCTGCAGCGCCATACAGCATCTGTGGGATAACAATTGCTTGATAGATCCTTCTCATGGAGCCTAGTGCGACCCCCCATGTGGATCCTGATAGGCCACGTAGAGCTTCCAGGCTGGTGCCTGCTTTTGCAATGGCTTCATCACGATGTGTGTCAAAGCTTAGCTTCGTATCGAGCCAGATGCCGAGATATTTGACAGCTTCTTTGGGCTTTATTTCAACTTCATCGCGCAGCTGGATTGGCTGCGATTCAGGATTGGTCGTGCTTCGTGGGTTCACAAAGTGAATTAGTTGATACTTCTTCGTGTCAAACACTGAAGCGTGTCGTACCGCCCATTGATCTGCGATCTCGCTAGCTTTTTGAAGCTTTCTTATTGTTTCTGTCTCTGTATTCCCTGTGGTCATCAAGGCTACGTCGTCCACCCATCCGCTTGTCGTTGTGTGATTGACTATATCCGCACAATCCTCAATCAGATCCGCGTTGTAAATCAGATATAAGATAGGTGAGATTGGTGATCCTTGTGGGATGCCTGTTGGTGTAGGAATTTGGCCAGATATCCCCTCAGGGATCCGTATCTTGGTGCTTCGATTTGTGAGAAAGGCAGTCACCCACGGCACAAAGTGCCCTAGACGTCGTTTCTTCATATTGTGTAGTAGTCGTAGGTGGTGGGCATTGTCGTAGGCACCGCTGACGTCCAATAGGAGCATAGATACGACGGCATGGCCACGTCCCCAGGCTCCACGGATTCGATCGAGGATGATCTGTATGGCATGATCCGTGGATATTCCTTTACGGCCACCTAGGTGGCTTGAAGGAAGCAATCCTTCACTTTCCATGGCGTAGCTGATGCGGCGTGCAATAATTGCTTCGAGAAACTTGCCGAGCGTGTTGAGCAAGGCCACAGGTCTGTACGCCTTGGGTGTACGATAGTCCCTGTTGCCGCCTTTACGTATTACGACGGTGATTGAGCGCTGGAAGTGAGTGGGATTGTAGCCAGTTCTTATGCAGGCATTAAAGATTTCGTATAGAGTGTCGATGATTACTGGGATGCTAATGATTTTATGCCAGAAGCTGTTTGGAATGCCATCCTCACCCGGTGCTTTATCTGGTGGCGTTGAACGAATAACATACTCGATCTCGTGGCGTGGGATCTCCGGGAATTCGATTTGTGACGGATATTGGCTGTCTGTGATGTCTGATAGATCTGCATTTGGGATAGCTGGGAAGAACGCTTCCCTAAGAAGCTGCGTTTTTGCTTCCACTGTTTCCGCTGTATGGCCATCCAAGTCTTGTAGGGTTGGGGTGATTCCTGATTCATACGCTCCATTACGCGAGCGTGCCCACTTTGCCAATTTCCAGAGGCCTAAGGGGCCTTGCTCTGTCGCCTGCTGTACGCGACGTCGATGGCCCAGTCGTAAGGATTTCTTGACTAGGCGTTTCTTCTTGTTACGGGCTCGTAGGTAAGCCCTCCAGATCCACGGATTGTGGGTGTTTGAGAATTGACGTCGTAGCTGGCGGCAGGTTCGTACAGCCTCTTTGCATTCAGGTGTAAAATCTGGATTGCTCCACGCGCTCGGACGAGCCCATGGAACTGATTGATCAACCGCTTTGCGAATAGCCGCTGTAAAGGCCACTGTTGCAAGTTCAATATGAGATTTTTATGCGTTTACAAGCCTTGGTGCGATGAGTTGGCTAAGCGATTCCTGTAGCACTTTGATATCTGTTGCTGCCCAGTTGCGGCGCCGTCGTGGTTCGTGAGTTGGTGTATCAATGTCGATCTGCGTCCTGATTGGCCAGTGGTCAGAGTCATGTTGGATCTCATCTGCACGCTCGTGTAGTACAAGACGATGAAATAAGGTTGTAGATAAGAATGTTAGATCGATTGTTGATTGTGATTGGCCACGTTCCCAGGTGACTAGTCCTTCTTCGGTAGCAAGCTCGATCCCATGGCGATCCATGATCTCAAGCAATTCTGTGGCTTGTTCGTCGATTTTGGTGCCAGGGCCACCCCAGGCTGGATGGTGGGCGTTCATGTCCCCAAGAACTATATGTGCTGTGGTTCGTGAGCATCCTAGTCGGGTTAGTTCTCGATCTATGTGCGTAAAGGTTGTCGACCGTGGTTCATTATAGATATTGTGGATATAGAGATCGTGTGGTTCGGAATTTGAATTCGAATGTAGGCAACGTTGATAGCGAATATGTAGGATTTGATAGTCAGGCGATATGACAGTGTGAGACCAGCTGGCCGGATTGATGCTTTTATTGACAAATAAGGCCACACGGGCTCTCTTATTGTTATTAGTGTTGTTGTTGTTGTCGTTAGGTTTGGGATAGAGGAGTTGATGTGTAAGACTCGCAGGCTGGTGCGTTGTATTGTTTAGTTCGTTTCTCCATGGTTCCTGAATTGCAATCACGGAGGCGCGGAGAGCTCGGGGATCACGTAAGAATGTGGCCATGACCTCATCCTTGGATTTATGCGTGTTATACTGTATAATCTCAAATATTGCACTCATTGGTCGAGAACATCTGGAGACGAGCGTGTGTTCATATCTTGTACAGTTTGTAGGTCATCCTCCTCCTCTTCTTCCTCAATAGGGGCTGCGCGTGGTCCTTGACTGGGATGGAAACTATTCAAAAGTTCTGTATAGCCTTCCGAATCAATAGTTGTGTTGTCATTAAGTTCACGGTAGCTAGCCGTGCTGCTTAGGATGACGTTGTTGTCTTCCATTGTCATGTTTATCTGTGGAAGCTGTGATATCCGGGGTAGTGGTATCTCATCCGAATCTTGAGATCGTGTACGTACTTGGCGGTGGGCCTGGATGCGCTGTCTGCGTATCTGTTCAAGGTAGGCTCTTGATCTGGTGACTGGAGCCGTTGATTTTGCCATGTTATCCTTGCTGAGTAGTGTCGGGTCGATAGTCTCCACAGGAGCGCTCGATTGAGTGATATCTATAGCCGATTGGATCTGTTCCGTGGGCTCTGATTCGTTCTCGTCGTTGTTGTTGGATGATTTAGATTTAGGTGGTCTACCGCGAGGCTGTTTTTTAACAGCTGTGAATGGGATTGCCTTAATTTTTTCAGCTGTTGGTATGATTCGTGAGGTTGTAGGGGCCTCTGGTGTTTGTGGGCGTGTTGTTGATGCTGTAGGCTCATTGATTTCAGTAGGAACTATAGGTGCTGTAGTTGATGTCTTTGTACGCTTTACCGCCCCTGAGATGCTTTTAGTGGTTGTTGATTTAGTCGTATTGGTGCGCTTCCTTGTGGATGCTTGGATCTGCGCAGCTTCGTGAGGAGTAGGATCCTCATTCGCAGTAGTATTCTGTTGCATCGGCTTGGGCTGTAAGTACTGAGGCACCCGATGAAATGGTTCACAATTGATTAGCGCGATCTTAGCCTTATCTAAGGCCTCACGTCGTAAGCCACACTTGGTACTTATAGCCTTATGTGAGCCACTGCAATTGGCACATTTTGGTGTGAATTCTATTCCCTGGCTCTGATGCGAAGGGCATTCCCAGGTCGGATGCTCCTTTGCACAGATCCCACAAATATATTTTGGATTTGGACACTGCGCGTGGACGTGCCCATATTTCTGGCACTTCTTGCACATCTTACACCGTCCTTCTCGACAATAAGGCCTATTGGTGTGGCTCCGAGATTGCCACACTGTCCCCATGGAGATTGCATCGTTAGCCACAATTGGATTTGTAAACTCAACAACAAGAGATCCTTCATGCTTGCTTTTAGGATTGGTAAGCCAGCCAACGTGTGCAATCTCAATCTTTGCATTCCGGCCCCAGGCATGGTGATTTTCTGCAGCTATTCGCTGTTTGAATTCCTCACCTAGATCCACGTTCCGGATAGGCATTCCATCGATCACAATTCCCCACGTGGGTACCCGTACGTACGCTGTTTCCCCAAATTCATGAACCCAATTCTTTGCATGCCTGCGGAGGACCTCCGCTGCTGCTGCGTTCGATGCCCGTAGGCTAACATCCCCCGATGGGAGTGGTCGAGCAGCAATGAATACATGACCGGCTAGAGGCAGGCTTGGAGTGCCCTTCGCTGCGTGGGCCCTGGCTCGTTCGGCTCGCTTCACGATCTCCGCAGGATGCAGTTCACGTATCTCCTTGCGGATAGCTTCATCGCGGATCTTAACGACAATCTCACAGTCCATACTCAGCTCTGTATGGCTGACACCTGGTGTGGAGGAGCCGGCGCTTCGAGATGAGGGTGCGGCTGCGCTCCGAAGACTGGCCTGCCAATTCTGGGTATTCCATGCTTTCCACGGGGATACAGATGACAATCCGGTTGTAGCGCTTGATTGAGATGCTTGATTGGATCGTGTCCGGAGCACCGCGGTGTCCTTTTGGACATCTACAAGCAGCCGCTTGAGATCCGTAAGGATTTCCGGACCAGATTTGTGAGCGGTAGTGAAGTCTCGTACGTCGTTGATAAATCCTCTAATCATTGGATTATCCTGGCCTTCGCGAGGGTTCGAGTATATATACTGAGCGAGCAGCTCCGCTGCCTTAGCAAGGTCTTCCATTTTCGTATAAGTCTTGATTGGTCGTTGTTGGTTGGTGATTGGCGGTGGTGGTGGTGGTTGTTGAGCCCCGGCGCGTATTAGGACGCGTCGTTGTGGATGCAGATTTTCACCCGTTGAGGGTGTCAACATGCGCGCCTGAGCCATTACTACGCTCTTACCTAGTAAAAGTAGGCTCGATTGATAGCTCTTGACTCCTCGGAAGTGGTCAGGGCAGTATCATTGACGTAGACACGCATTAAAGAGATTAACGAGATAGGCCTCAATAGTAGGAAGCAGCCTTTGAAGGACCAGATTAGGGATCCCATCTGGCCCTGGTGCTTTATCAAGCTTTACATTGTTTATTGCGGTGCGGACTTCGTCTAATGTAATTGGTAGTATCATATACGGTTCGGGATATCTGAATTGTGGCCCAATGTCCGACAAATCTGCCTCTGGGGGCTCCGGATGGAGGACCTTTCGGAATAGAGCTGCTTTCTCCTTTGGGGCTGTGTAATTCGTGTTATTATAGTGTAGCGTTGGAGTAAATGTGGCACGTGGCTTGCCCCGGTTGCGGACCCAACGGGCAATCCTCCAGAAACCATCTATTGACTCTGTTGCCTGCTCAATTCGTTGGCGGTGTAGATCTCGTGCGAGCTCGTTAGTGCGCCGTTTCATCTCTTTCCTAGCCTCTGCGTAGTCCTCCCATGCCTGATTTGTGTTTATACGACGTGCGTGTCGTCGACACCTGGACACTTGGTGTTTGAGCTTCGCCATCTCTGGGGTGTAGCCCGCGCGTGAGTAGGTAGTGATCTGCTTTGTAGGGGTCGCCTGCTCAGCTGTTTGATTGATTGCCTCGACCAGATAGCGGATCGCCTCATTGATCGCCTCATTGTCATTGAGCTCCCTTGGGTGCCAGTAGTACGTATCCATCAGTTTAAGGAAGAGGTCCCAATCTGTTGCATTCCACTGCTTGCGGACCATTGGAGGAACACGTACAGCGGTGAGGTCAAATTGAGTAAGGATTGGGACGTGATCTGCACCATACCACCACTCTCTCTTGGTGTCGCAGTTCACTACCCGGTTGGCTAGATTGTGCGATGCCCACACTAGATCAATCGTAGATTTGGCGTTTGCCCTCTCGTACGTGATCGTGCCTGGTGGTAGGAGCTGCTCAAGCCTATGCTCATCCATAAGGTCAATCAGTTCGGTGGCCTCCTCGTCAACGTGTTGATATCGCGTGCCCGCCCACAGCGGGTGATGTCGGTTGAAGTCCCCCAATACGATATACTGCGCCCTAGGTGCCATGGCAGTTTGCAGGGCGCTAATTACAGATTCCTCGTTGCTATTGACTCCTGGATTGTATACATTGTGAATGTGGATAGTTCCATGGGCGGCTGTATAAAGTGTCAACGTGCTCAGTTCTCTATTGTGATATTGGACCTCCCATGTGGCTGGATCCAGCCCTCTGTTGACAGAGAAACAGACACGTGGGCGTTTCTCGTATTCCTCTCGGGGTGTTGGCTGTAGTAGAATATGGAAGCTGCCCTTGAGCGCTAGTGAGTAGGTTGTTAGTGGGTCGGGGTTTTGGATCTTGTCGTTGGGGCCGTTGACAGTATCATATTGTCCTTAGTGATATAGTGTCAACAGTCTCTATAGGAGGACTAGATTGGGTAATATTTAGGGCCGATTGAATCTGTTCGGTGGGCTCCAACTCGCTATCATCGTTTTTGGACGATTTGGATTTGGATGACCTGCCGCCAGGCCGCTTCTCAATGGTTGTAAACGGGATGGCCCTGACTTTCTCAGCTGTTGGCATGATTCTTGAGGTCGTAGGGGCCTCCGGTGTTTGTAGACGTGTTGTTATTGGAGCTATTGTGGCTCCAGAGGTGCTTTTAGCAGTTGTTGATTTGGTGGTGGTATGCTTCTTTGTAACTGCTTGAATCTGCGCAGCTTCATAAGGTGTAGGATCCGTATTTGTGGCAGTGTACTGTTGCATCGATTTTGGCTGTAGATAATGAGGTACTCGATGGAATGGTTCACAGTTGATTAGTGCGTATTTTGCCTTTTCTAGGGCCTCACGTCGTAGGCCGCAACTAGTGCTTACAGTCTTATGTGGACCCTTGCAGTTGGCACATTTTGGCGTAAAATCTTTTTCCTTATTCTGATGTGAAGGGCATTCCCAGGTCGGATGCTCCTTGGCACAGAATCCACAGATAAATTTTGGATTTGGACACTGCGCGTGGACGTGTCCATATTTTTGACACTTTTTGCACATCTTGCACCGTCCCTCTCGACAATAGGGCCTATTGGTGTGGCTCCGAGACCGCCATATAGTCCCCATGGAAATTGCATCATTGGCCACAATTGGATTTGTAAACTCAACCACGAGAGATCCTTCATGACTCCTAGGCTTGGTGAGCCAGCCAACATGCGCGATTTCGATCTCGGCTTTCCGGCCCCAGGCGTGTTGATTCTCGGCAGCTAGTTGTTGCTTGAAATCATCGTTTGACAAATCCGCTTCCCGAATAGGCATCCCATCGATAACGATTCCCCATGTAGGCATACGTACGTACGCAGATTCCCCGAATACGCGAACCCGATTCTTTGCGTGTCAGCGGAGGACTTCAGCTGCAGCAGCATTCGAAGCTCGCAGACTGATATCACCAGAGGGAAGCTGTCGCGCAGCAATAAAGACATAACCGGCTAGAGCTAGGCTTGGAATGCCCTTCGCTGCTTGGGCCCTAGCTCGTTCGGCACGCTTCACGATATCTGCAGGTTGCATTTTACGTATCTCCTTACGGAGGGCCTCGTCACGAATTTTCACAGTGATGTCGCAGTCCATGCCTAGTTCTGTATGGCTGACACCTGGTGTAGAGGAGCCGGTGCTTTGAGATGTAGGTATGGCTGCATTTCGAAGGCTGGCCTGCCAATTCTGGGTGTTCCACGTTTTCCATGGGGACATGGATGATAGTCTGGTTGACGCGCTTGATGATTGCTCTGATCGTGTACGGATTACCGGTGTCTTTTTGAACATCCTGAAGCAGCCACTTGAGGTCCACAAGGATTTCCGTACCAGATTTTTGTGAGGCTGTGAAGTTCTCGTCCTCAATAAATCCTCGTATCATCGGGTTATCCTGACCCTCGCGAGGCCTAGAGTGTATATATTGAGCCATAAGCTCTGCAGCACAGGCAAGATCTTCCAGTTTTGTGAAGGTTTTGATTGGTCGTTGTTGCTTGGTTTGTTGTTGTTGTGGTTGTTGAGCACGGGCGCGTACGAGAGCGCGTCGTTGCGGATGCAGATTTAGGCCTCGCCCTCACCCGCGGGTCGGGTGCGCTCTAGGTCTGACCCTCGAGGGTCCACAAACAAGACAAACATGTCACGACCTCGCTCACGGGAGTATTCGCTCACTAAGCCGTTGCGCCAAAAAGACCAGAATATTGGGGATGGTGGGTCCTCTCTACTACTCTCTCATATAGTAAGGTTGCCAGAGCCGTCACAAAACATGAGAAGCTCGTAAGTTGCATAATTTATGCAGCTCGTAGCTGTATTTTCCAGTATTTCTCTTACAGAATTATTGTGGGAGAAGGGACAATAGATGTAACAACGTTACAAGGGATATATATATATATAATTACGTTCGAGAGGAATCACTGAAGGCTAAGCACACAAGGTAGGGTATGGAATGTCAATGTACTGAAACCTATCTCTCCTGCTTCCGCAGCATGCATTCTATATAAGAGACATTGAAACCGATCTCGATGGCGTGTACGACTACAGTGGGTGCCAGGCCACGAAGGGGTCCCAGGCAACGAGAAAGCAGACCAGCTGGCAAAGTTGGCTGCAGTCGAGGCGACACGGCGTACACAGGAGAACGCCCGCATAGCCAGGATCAGCGCACCCAATCAGACTACACCACACGCCGCACGAATGTCGTATATTCCAAATCAGTCAACTATCCTTATGGCAGTGTGTCGCCAGAGGCTACATGCAGGCTTTGCAAAGAGGTGGAAGGAACAGTGGGAGCATGCCAACCATGGACGGCATCTCTATCGGATAATCAAAGCACCAACGAAGATGGTGTTGCAGCTGCACGAGGGATTACGACGGGCTTGGAGTTCAGTGTTAATCCAACTACAAACAGGTAAATCAGCGCTACGCAGCTTCCTAGCGAGTGTACGGATTGAAGACTCACCTCAATGCGAATGTGGCCTTGGGGATCAGGATACGGCCCACGTCCTCATACGGTGTCCTACCCATATAAACCTGCGTATGGAGACTCTCTGGAAAGAAGCACGCGAAACAGATTATCGGAAGCTCCTTAGCGAACCTCAGTGGGTTCGGCAGAGTATTGAATTTATGATGCGGACTGGTCTATTGACGCAGTTCCATCACGTAACCCCCTTAACAACCACGCGCTCACAGTGAGTGCGACACTACCCTGATGAAGAGTAACCATGTTGATTCGGCTTGGACGGATCAGCCACTTGACACGTTTGGAAATAGAACCGGGCACCAAAACATAAATATCACGTCACCCCGCACCGAGATCCTTCACTCATTTTGTATATGTACACATTTCCTTTGTTGGTTCGGCGTTCTGTTCGCTCGTTATCTGTTGTTGGTGGTCTTCGGATCTGGATACGGATACGTGTCGAGACTTTCGCGTGGAGTTGACTAAGTCAGCGTCAAGCCGGAAGCATCTTGGCACGTTGACGTTGATTTATGCTTTTATACGGTAGTACGCCCGCTGCCCAATTAGAAGGCGCCGCCGGCCACTAGGCTTAGATGCGTGTATGAATCAATCAATCAATCAATCAATCATAAGAGACATTGATGTTGTTTCGTGGCAAACATCATTGACCACAGCCAGCTGAAAGTTGTCCATAGCCAGCTGAACATTTGACCATGACCAGCTGAAGTATCCACACTTTTGCCACTCTCCGTTGAGTTTGTCCTCGTATCAAACCAACCCTAATCCCTAAGAGATTGGACAAGCATGTTGGTTGTTACAATAGAGTACTCGTATAAATGCAGAAATGTCTGTTTAAAAGTCCTTTATTGTTAAAGTTACTATTCTATATTATAGATAAAGCTATGCACGATCAACTTCATACCTGTAACAACGTTACGAGGGATAGGTATAAATAATTACATTCGAGAGGAATCACTGAAGGTAAAGCACACAAGGTAGGGTATGGAAAGTCAATGTACTGAAACCTATCTTCCGCTATCCTTGAGCGTCTGCTATCTTTATAGACATATAACTTATACCAGATGTTACGGGCTAGTCCCGCCTAATGCTCACTATAAGGGCATACTCGAATAGAAAACGTAACATGAGGAAAGGAAAGAGAAAGAAAACAACAAGTTCTTCACGTATGTACAATCTTATATAGGCAAGGGGAATCGGGAGCTTCTGACGGGCTTCTCTCTAGGAATAGCCTCATGTCCGGGTTGCTGAGATTGTTGGGGTTGCCGGAGATCGACAGAGAGCGCTATTGTCAATATCCGTGAGGGCTTCGCCCGAACATGCTCATGAGGTCAGCTCATAACACCAGATCTCCCTTCTCCGAATAGCTCCAACAGTCGAGGTGGAGCTGAAACCATCCTCGAACATATAAATCTTCTCCTGGTGTAGCTGAAACCCAACTTGAGACGTCATGGGTGCATTTCTTAGAATAGTGAGACCCCCGAGCCTGCTGGTTGTTACAGATCATCATACGCCTCCGGAACCTGTGCTAAAATTGACATATCCTCAGCTCTTTTCCCCGTTGATTTTAGCTGGGATTCTCTAAGAGCCAGTTAGATGCATCTCCATACCGGTATTTAAAGGTGCTGATTCCATGCCTTTTTAACATCTTTATATGGCCTCAAAGTGAATATATTTGACTCTAAAAGGGGTTTCCATGCCTGAGATACTCTGCCGGTTTCTTGACTCTAGGCCTGCCGTCATTCTGACCAATAGGAGGCTAGAGATTTATTCTAAAATGTACTAAGAACCCTTAGTGTACACTAGCGGTACACTAGCTCCCAGGGGATAGTCACGTTCGAGAGGGATGACTTAAGGGCGAAGTACACAAGGTAGGGTATGGAATGTCAATCTGAAACCTATCTCTTCTGCTTCCGCAGCATGGATTCTATATTATTATTATTATTATTAATCATGTTTATTGTCCATACCCAGCGCTATAGGCTATGAGAGACCACTAGAAGCCTTGGTGAGACCCTAAAGGCCTCACCCCTATCAGAATCATACATGCAAAATTCAAAATTCACTATCTCGTCCCCATATATAAGAGACATGTTGTCTCGTGGCAATATATTGTTAACCATAGCCAGCTGAACCTTGACCATGACCAGCTGAAGTATCCACACTTTTGCCACTTTCTGCTCTCGCATCAAACCAACCCTAACCCTAGGAGATTGGACAGGTGTGTTGTGTTGGTTTGTTACATTTCCTTTGATTCCATTCTTGGCTTAGCGCTGGGGCTTACCCTAAGGCTCACGTACGTTATACATAGTAAAATGAGCCCTAGGATTATGTAAGGCCTAGCGCTAGCCCGATATGGTTGGCTCATATCCTTATATAGCACGTGCTCGCAGGTAGGCACACACCTGGATAGCGGCTCTTAGACCGTGGCTAGCTACAGCAGGTATATCAAATCTACTACTACTACTACTACTACTACTACTACAGTGGGTTCCAGGCCACTCAGGGGTCCAGGGGAACGAACAGGCTGATCAAGCTGCGAAGTGGGCAGCGAGCAAGCATATAGCGTCTGGTTTCGAGCACCTATCTCTAGCATATGTTAGATGTCCTTGCACGGAAGCCGGAAGAGCTGCAGTATCCGAATGGGCTCGAATCAACGCCGTACAAGGCAGGCACAGGACACGGGCGTGTCTACAAGATGCCTCGAGGCTGGAGCTGTAACAACGTTACAAAGGATGTGTATAAATACGTCCGAGAGGGATCACTAAGGCTGAGTACACAAGGTAGGGTATGGAATGTCCATGTACTGAAACCTATCTTCCGCTCTCCTGGAGCACCTGCTATCTTTATAGACATGTAAATTACACCAGATCTTCCTTCTCCGAATAGCTCCAATAGTCAAAGGTGTAGTCTGAGGAAGCTGAAACCATCCTCGAACATGTAAACCTTCATCTAGTGTAGCTGAAACCCAACTTGAGACGTCATGGGCATATTTCTTGGAATAGTGAGACCCCAAGGCCTGCTGGTTGTTACAGGAGCCTTGACCCAGTGAAAACAGGACATGCCCCAATAGGCACCTATCGACGGGAATCCCCCGAGTGCCAGGCTTGTAAGGAGCTTCATGGGGCGGTGAGGCATGTGCTTTTTGAGTGCCGAGGACGCCGTGCAGGCCGGAGAGCTCTATATCGAGTTCCCCAGGGAGCTGAGGTGCCGCTGCCTACAGCAGCTGAGGAAAACCCCGAGGCTAGGCTGTTTGCTGAGCCTAGCGCGGCGCAGGGATTACTGCAATTCGTAACTGAGGTCAATCTGTTTAAGGATAAGGAGCAGGCAGTCAGAGAGGCTGAGATCAGTGATGTTTGGGGATGGGACACGTTGGAGGAAGGTGGCCTAGGTGTCACCTCTGAGAAGGAATAGGGATAGGGCACCCTAGCCATGGTTTGTACCGACTAGGCATGCCCCCGGGTTTGGAACTATAAGGGATCTTTGGAAGGATAGGCCTAGGGAGAGTGCCCAAAAGCTGCTGGCTCATAGGCCATACAGCAGCGAGATAGTGATTCTTGAATGTTGCATGCATGTAGGATACTGATAGGGGAGGCCTCACCAAGGCTTCCAGTGGTCTGTCATGGCCTATAGCTCCGGGTATGGACAATAAACTTGATCAATAATAAATACTGAGTTATAAAATATAACAATTTATACGGAAGATTTCCCACTATAATAATAGTAGCTAATATTTTGATTTTATACTAACTTGCTTACGGAAGTTGGAGTCAAAAGTATTGGCACGCGCTAAAATTTAGTGCCTGTTAGCGCACCGTAATTATCGAAAAAAAAAAAAAAAAACGGTGTGGACTTTTCCTAATAAAACACTAGTGAACGGAAGTCAACAAGTTGGGGCACTACCTCGCCTTTTGACAACACATTGCTTTTTCAAATATGAAGCTATTTATTCCCAACAATTAATAATTAAGTGCAATAATATAATATATACGCCGCTTTTTATATTGTAGATTGATCTGCTAATTGATTCTATTTATATAGGAGCCTGACCTCTGTCGCTACGTTATACGCCTACTCCTACACTGATTTCTCCATCGCTTCAATCAAAATGGTAAAAAGCAGTGAATACTCTATTACTCGACGCTCCCAGGTTATAATAACCTTGGTATTTCTTGCCAATATGAAGCCTCCAGATGTCGCGAATTTGCTACGGATGCCCAAAAAAGTGTTTGTAACATTATAAACCATGCTAAATCAGCAGGATATGACCCCGCGGTCAAGCCTCTAGTTATGATTGCTATATTGTTGATAAACCACGCTCGGGACGTCCAAAAGTAGTAACTCCGGAGATTGAGGCTTTGATATTGGCAAGTCTAACTAAAGATCGATCTGGTCGTGAGAAATCTGCAGGAGTTCTTGCTTTTGAAGCTGGTATTTCTGAATCTTCTTGCCTGTGTCTTTTGAAATTCCTTTCTTTTAATAAATGCAAGCCTACTTGGAAACCTGGTCTGACAGAAGATATGAAAAAGAGAAGACGTCTTCGCCTTGAGCCACCAGCATTGGACTCTAGAGGACTGGAAGAATATTGTATGGACGGATGAGACATCAATAATCTTGGGACACCGGAGAGGCTCTAACCGAATTTGGCGACGTTCTTGGGAATGCTATGATCCAACAGTTATTCGTAGGCGTTTCAAGAATGCCTCTGAAGGTGTAAAAGGAGGATGTTTTGTATTATGTGAAGGTGCCAAGCTAGATCTCATAACAATCCATTGCTATGCCTAATCTAGGAGCTATTCGACGAGAATACAAAACATGAGAAGAGGAAGAAAGAGAATGGAGTGCGCGATCGCTGAGCGGGGTTGACATATTAGCGGGATCACGTGTAAGGCTCAAAGGCATCAATCAGGCATCTATTGACTGAGCCGTCACAAAACTAATCTACAAGGGAGCAAGCCCATATTTATGTCTGCGCAGGGCCTGCTCCAGGGCATGCTTCCTGACGGAGCATGCCTGCTAAATCTGCACAGAGATCTTAAACAAAAGACTACAACAAACCCACCAACAAAGCCTTTGGCGAAGCTATTCTTAAGACGTGAAACTCATAGAACAAAGATCCTCAGAGGGGTCCTTAGTGTCGTAAACCCTCACCGCCTTTGCCTGCTTGGCGGTGCCGCTGCCTAAAGCAGACCTCTGAGTCAGATCCGTGACAAGGGGATATCGGTTCCCATAGTAATTAGTGCGTAAGGCTATGTACCAAAAAAAAAAAAAAAAAACTAAATTAGCGCGTGCCAATACTTTTGATACTAGCCTCTGTATATTGATTATATATTGCTCATACATATCTAATATTTGATTTTATACTAACCTGGCAATGTTAATTATATTAATTGCTTATGGTGAATTTTAATAATTTATACGGAAGATCTCATACTATAAAATAATAATAGTTAATTTTTGATTTTATACCAACTTGCTAATTTTATTGCTTATACTAATTCACATGGAAGATTTCCCGCTCTAATTGTATTAGCTAATATTTTGATTTTATGCCAGCTTGCCAATGTTGATTATATTAATTGTTTATACCGAGTTTTAATAAATTTATATGGGAGAGGTACTATAATTATTATTAATACTAATAATAATAATAAATTCAGATATTCACTTAATATTTAAATTTTGAATATCCAAATTCTTAGTAATTAAATTAATTTTGAAATATCCAAATTCTTAATATTTGATAATCATCATTAACAATTGTAAATATTAGCTATAAATGAAAAGCAGTAGCTTGCGGCCTAATCAACCCTTTCCTTAGTCATCCAGAGTCTCGCTTATATAGCTCGACCCCGACAACTCAACGTACAGACGTACTCAACATACCATATTTTTTTATAACTTACAACCACCTATCTAACGCGTTATATCTCAACACCAGGATGCCGGATAATTATCACGATATTGAAGCAAGAATTACAGATGCCCTGGATACGATTCCTGGAGGAATTAAATCAAATATTCCATCCACATTTAGCGCGAGTATTTGATGTTCCTCGATCCCGACTGTTAGCTCGCTATCATGGCAGAGATTCACGTACAACACGCGACCCAACGAATACAAGATTATGAAACGATCGGGAAATCGCCCTCTGTCGATATATTGACACTTTTGAAAGCGTGGAGATTTTTCCTCATCGAAATATGGCGTTACGAGCGTGGCCTAGGTGTCACATTGGAGGATGAATAGGGATAAGGGCACACTAGTCAGGGTTTGGAACTATAAGGGATCTCCGGAAGGATTAGCCTAGGGGGAGTGCCCAAAGGTCCCTGGCATATCGGCCATATGAGGACGAGATAGTGATTTTTTTTTTTTTTTTTTTTTTTTTTGCATGTATGATTCTGATAGGGGTGAGGCCGATAGGGCGTCTCCAAGGCTTCCAGTGGTCTGTCATAGCCAGTAGGGCTGGGTACGGACAATAAACTTGATTAATAATAATAATAATAATAATTTCGTCCCCATATGGCCGATATGCCAGGGACCTTTGGGCACTCCCCCTAGGCTAATCCTTCCGGAGATCCCTTATAGTTCCAAGCCCGTGGGTGTCATAGCCTATAGCGCTGGGTATAGACAATAAACATGATTAATAATAATAATAATAATAATGGCGTTACGAGCCGCTCAATCTATTCTAAACCAATCGAACCCTGCCGAACTCCCGTTAGGCGAACATTTGATAAAATGATTCTTTGAAAGTCATCCAGAGTATCGCGTACGCGTGCCATGGCGATAGACCTCGAGAGAAAGCAATCGTTCGAACCAAAGGTCCTTGAGCAATGATATCAACAGCTTCAAAGTACGATTACTAAGTATGGGATACCGACAGAAGATATATATACAATTTTGACGAGACTGGCTTTACAGGTTGGCATGGGAAGAGATCAATATATTGTCACCCGCGAACTAAAAAAGAGGATATATATACCACTTAATACGAATCGAGAATATATCACTGTTGTTGAAGGAGTTAATGCCTCCTCCGAATGGGTAATATCTCCATTTGTTATTATTGCGGCAAAAACCATTATCCAGGGCTGGTTTGATGCCACTGGATACGGTCAAAATATTGGGATTGCCGTTAGCGGAAATGGATATCCTGATGATGAATTGGGATATCAATGGATTCACCGTGAAACCTTTCGCAAAGTTAAAGGTTGGCCCAATATCGATTGTCAATTTGTGATGGATTTAGCTCTCACCTTACGTACGAATTTGTGGATTTCTGTGAGAAACAAAAGATTATTCTTTTCTTTCTAATACCTCATACAAGCCATTTTCTACAGCCTCTTCATGTCGGTGTTTTCCATGCTTTTAAACACTGGCATAGTGAAGCCGTTTTTGCAGCCTCATATTATTATTATTATTAATCAAGTTTATTGTCCGTATCCAGCCCTACTGGCTATGACAGACCACTGGAAGCCTTGGTGACGCCCTATCGGCCTCACCCCTATCAGAATCATACATGCAAAAAAAAAAAAAAAAAAAAAAAAAATCACTATCTCGTCCCCATATGGCCGATATGCCAGGGACCTTTGGGCACTCTCCCTAGGCTAATCCTTCCGGAGATCCCTTATAGTTCCAAACCCGTGGGCACGCCTAGTCGGTACAAACCCTGACTAGTGTGCCCTTATGCAGCCTCATATACCGGTACGGGCAAATTTACTCGGGTTGAGTTCCTTACAGCGCTCGGTTATGACCATTCGTGAGAAAACCTTCAAATTACACACTATTAAACATGGCTTTTAGACTTACCTCCTCCAAGAGCCGTATGATACGCCATCGGGAATATTCTCGATAATTTCAAGTGAAGCAACGCCTCGAAATGCACGGAAATTTGAAGCTCTAGAACGCCAAATCAACGAATCCCCGGGTATATTCCAATTTATATGAAAAGATTCGAAGATTAGCTCGTGGTGGTGTCGTACAACAAGCACATCACCTACATGAGGTGGAACGGGAGCTCCAGGATATTAAGGATAAGCAGCTTCAACGCAATCAATGTCCCAAGGTCTCACGCAAGCAACTAGCAACTTCGGGGGGTGTTGGTCGTATATGCCTCGGATTTGAAGAAAATAGCAAAAATAAAGAAAATCTTGCGATGAGGAGAAGCTTTTTGCCAAGTTTGAGCGAATTTACGCCTCAAAGGTTATGCCAGAACTTATTTCTATATGTTCAGCTAAGGGGATTACTTTAAAATGTACGCGGGGATGTGGAAAGCCTAAAACATCGTTAGAACACCCTAAACCGGAAAAATAATACGTTGTTGGTGGCTTTTTGAAGCTTCAAAGGTGCGCCTATATTGGTAAAAAATTGTACGTTGAGTTGTCGGGGTCGAGCCCTGGATGACTAAGGAGGGGTCGGTTAGGTGTCACGTTTGAGGAGGAATCCCTAAAGGATAAGGCTACCCTATCCAAGGTTTTAAGAACCCACTAGGCATGCGTGAGGTCGGAACTATAAGGGATCTCCCGGAAGGATAAGCCTAAGGAGAGTGCCCAAAAGCTGCTGGCTCATAGGCCATACAGCACCTATCTACACCGGATAGGCCGACGAGAATCGCCTGAGTGTCAGGCTTGTAAGGAGCCTCACGAGACAGTGAGGCATGTGCTCTTTGAGTGCCGTGGACGTCGTGCAGGACGGAGAACTCTATATCGAGCCCTCAAGAAAGCTAGCGTGCCACTGCCTACAGCGGCTGAGGAAAGCCCCGAGGCTAGGCTGTTCGCAGAACCTAGAGCGACCCAGGGGCTGCTGCAATTCGTAGCTGAAGCCAACCTATTTAATGATAAAGAGCGGACAGCCAGAGAGGCTGAGTAGTGATGCGTGGGGGTGGGATATGTTGGAAGAAGGTGGCCTAGGTATCACATTGGAGGAATAGGAATAAGGGCACGCTAGTCAGGATTTGTACCAACTAGGCGTGCCCACGGGGTTTTTGAAACTATAAGGGATCTCTGGAAGGATTAGCCTAGGGAGAGTGCCCAAAGGTCCCTGGCATATAGGCCAATGGGGATGAGATAGCGGTTTTTGAATGTTGCATGTATGATACTGATAGGGGTGAGGCCGGTAGGGCCTCCGCGGATGTAGGTGTACGACAGTAAAAAATAAATGTCAATAAAAAGTAAATAAATTCACTGTCCCTCGACCCTAGATTGCAAATTCACAAAACAGCACTAAAATGCCATCGAAGAAATATAAAAAGCATGAAGAAGCCATTTTGAAGGCAATAGAAGAATATAAAAAGTTTCGGGCCAAAAACTGACTAAATTGGCAGCGCAATTCGACGTTCCGTATGCGTGCCTCCAGGGTCGCGTATCTTACACGAAGTCGTACAACGAACGCAGGCCAGCGCTTCGTTGATTATCAACTGTTCAGAGGGGTACTATAAAGCTATGGGTACCTGATATTGGCAGCATGGCGATCCCTCCTATGCCTAGATTGGTTGAGGGCGATGAGAACGCAATACTGGGATCTCCGGAAGGATAGGCCTAGGGAGAGTGCCCAAAAGTTGCTAGCTCATAGGCCATACAGCAGCGAGATAGTGATTCTTGAATGTTGCATGTACGATACTGATAGGGGTGAGGCCTGTAGGGCCCCCCAAGGCTTCTAGTGGTCTGTCATAGCTTATAGCGCTGGGTATGGGCAATAAACTTGATCAATAATAATAATAATTAAAATTCTTAATATTTAAAAATTTGATATTCACATTCTTAATATTTAAATTTTTAAAGTTCAACAGTGTGCACTTGTCCACCGAAGTCGTAGCAGAGCGTAAGCTTGTGTGTCACGGATCTGACTCAGAGGGCTGCTTTTGGAAGCGGCACCGCCAAGCAGGCAAAGGCGGTGAGGGTTTACGACACCAAGGACCCCTCTGAGGATTTCTGTTCTATGAGTTTCATGACTTGGGAATAGCTTGACTAAAGGCTTTGTTGGTGGTTTTGTTGTATTCTTTTGTTTAAGATCTCTGTGCAGATTTAGCAGGCATGCTCCGTCAGGAAGCATGCCCTGGAGCAGGCCCTGCGCAGACATAAATATGGGCTTGCTCCCCTGTAGATTAGTTTCTTCTCTTTAGCTCACGTCTTGTTAGTTTCCTATGCCATACGTTTTACCCTATTGATCCCGCTCCGTTACATTGTGGCGCTATGATGGAACCGAATCTGTACTAGCACCAACTAGGTTATATCAATCAACTAAAGGCTATGATTACGGGATTTTACGTATTTGAAAAAAAAAAAGAGACTTCTTGATTGGGGTAAACTAAAAATACTCGAAAAAGCAGTAAGAATCCCCCGAACAGCCAATTTCCCCACCAATCCTTCCCCAATTTCCTCCGGAAAGCTAGTGAACCATTGACAATCTGTGCGAAATTGTATGGGAATCCTTACTTACCGCAGACGACTCGAGAATACAAAAAAAACGTGGAGAGAGCCAAAAAAAAGCTCCTCGGAAGACCTGTATCAGAAGTTAGTTATGGATTCACATAAGTAATAGAGAGGGAATATCTTCACTTTTTGATACCATTGGGCATTGCCGCATTCCAAGTTGTTGTTGACGATTTCGAAGATCTTCTCTAGAAGCTCCAGGGCCTCCAGGAGGTGCTTCAAGATGTCAATAATCTTGAACAACGTGCCGGCGAAGCGATCCAGGCAGCTGGCATCGAAAAGTCGTTCTTTTTAAGGGCCATGATGACGACCACGGCCGCGGCGAGGATAGCCAATTTGACGAGGAGCTTCGGCATGGCAGGCATCTTGGCGGAGGTGGTGGAGGTGGTGGTGGTAGCGGCAGCAGGCAGTTTGGAGAGTAGACTTTGGACAGTTCTCGAGGCAGGAGTGGTGTGTAAGGAGAAAGAGATCGCGGGAAGAGAGGGGGGAGAGAGGGTTTATATACTCTCGAGAAATCAGGCAAACACGATGCAATCCACAGGGCAGGGCTTATACCCACTAAGCGTTGCCCACAGGTTTGGAACTATAAGGGATCTCCGGAAGGATTAGCCTAGGGAGAGTGCCCAAAGGTCCCTGGCATATCGGCCACATGGGGACGAGAGGGTGATTTTTGAATTTTTGCATGTATGATGTTGATAGGGGTGAGGCCTGTAGGGCCTCACCAACGCTTCTAGTGGTCTGTCATAGCCTATAGCGCTGGGTATAGACCATAAACATGATTAATAATAATTAATAATAAGAATAATGCAATCCACAGGAAATTCCGGCACATTCCGGTGTTGACGACGTCGCCAATCCGGATTGACGATATTGTGAAGGTGCCAAGCCAGATCTCATAACAATCCGTTGCTATGCCTAATCTAGGAGCTATTCGACGAGAATACAAAACATGAAGAAGGGAAAACCGGAGTAAGTGCGTGATCGCGGAGCGGTGTTGACAAATGGACAAGATCACGTATGAGGCTCCAAGGCAGCCATCAGGCATCAACTGACTGAGCCGTCACAGATATCGTGTGATATTGAGGCCATTCGGCGCTATAAGCTAAGCCGGATTGGCCCTAATCAGGGCACAATTATAATCTGGCAAAGCAGCTTATTATTATTATTATTATTAATCAAGTTTATTGTCTATACCCAGCCCTACTGGCTATGACAGACCACTAGAAGCCTTGGTGACACCCTACTGGCCTCACCCCTATCAGAGTCATACATGCAAAATTCAAAAATCACTATCTCGTCCCCATATGGCCGATATGCCAGGGACCTTTGGGCACTCTCCCTAGGCTAATCCTTCCGGAGATCCCTTATAGTTCCAAACCCGTGGGCACGCCTAGTCCGTACAAACCCTGACTAGTGTGCCCTTATCCCTACCCATCCTCCAATGTGACACCTAGGCCACCTTCCTCCAACGTGTCCCCCCCTAGGAGTATTGGGGGGATACACATTAAGCTACTATACATTTATATATGCACCCATAGTAACCGGCTGCCGCTTCTGTCCTCTCAAGCTAGATACAATAGTTCCTTATCTTTCCTATTGCTCCACTACCGCCCACTCTCCAACCACTTCTGAGCTTCCAGTTACCAATATCGGCATCGCAGCCTACTTATTGGCCGTCACAGTCTTGCCCCATAAGGGACTAACCACTAGCTAGGCTAGCCTCGGGTGTCCTGTCCCGTGGGTGGGTCGGATGGTTTTTAAAAGGGTTCCCGAGAATTGGTGCGGTTCTTAGGGCAAAAGCCCTACGGTGGCTAGATATAAAGCGCTAGCACGCGAGCCTTGGCAGCGGCACCCACTTGCAGCTGCCACGATAATTTGTGGTAATTGTTTTGGTGAGGGGTGTAGGAGTCGAACCTACGGCCTTGTCAATCAGCGAAGATGGGTACCGAACAGAGGCCCTTAATGGTGACTTTGTTAAATCCTCGATAATCGACACAGAGTCTCAGTGTACCGTCCTTCTTTGGTACGAATAGGATCGGTGATGCAGCTGGACTTTTTGACGGTCTGATGAAGCCTTTCTCGAGGTTCTCTTGGAGATAACAGCTCGGCCCATGACAACGGATAAAGTGGATTGTCCCTCCTGGATCTCGATAGCTAGGTCAACCCCTTCACGGTTCGGTGCTAGTTTTTACACGTTCTGAGGAGAAAAAACGTCGGCATACTCCCTCAAGGCACTTGGCAGAGCATCCTTGCTATCTCTACTGCTAGTCTTGTTGAGTAGTGGATTGTACTCCATAAGTGCGTATACCTTTGGCCCTTTTATCAGTCGCTTCCGGAATGCCTTCGCCAATTCGACTTTGACATAGTGGCGGATAGGATTATCGCTAGCAGGCAAGTGGAACTGCCATCGGTTGCCGCCAGCTTCCTTTGCTCGTAAGGAGATGTCAATTCCAATCTCACCTAGTGGCCGTTCTCCAAGGAGTAGCTTGACGGTTGATTGAGTCAACTTTTCGGTTACAAAAAGACGAAGCAACCGGTGAAACTGCATGGCATGAATTTATCAAATATATCAAAGGATTAGATGGGTTTTATAATGCCACATTTCCTATTGAAATAGCCCGGGTTCTTACTGGCTTGGAGCTTCATTCGCAGCTCCAATACTTTCTGCCTACGCTTCTCGTCTTGTTCACACAGTTGCTAATTCAGCAGCTGCAGAACGAGCATTCTCAAGGCTAAAACTTCAATTTACAATTCTACGGAATCGGCTTGATATGAAAAATTTGGAGATGCTCTTATATATCCAAATCAACTCATCCCAGATGTGAAGTGAAGAAAGAAAAAATCTATCGACTGAGGAGCTTCTCTTGGAAGAATCAATTGAGCAAGAGTGCCTGCTTCAGAGCCTACTTCTGGTATAAAACGTACAGCAGAAGAAGCTGCTTTGCCAGGGGGCGGATAGCTGAAGTGGTAACGGCTATCCTTGGGGCCTCCATTCGGTACCCATCTTCGCTGATTGACAAGGCCGTAGGTTCGACTCCTACACCCCTCACCAAAACAATTACCACAAATTATCGTGGCAGCTGCAAGTGGGTGCCGCTGCCAAGGCTCGCGTGCTAGCGCTTTATATCTAGCCACCGTAGGGCTTTTGCCCTAAGAACCGCACCAATTCTCGGGAACCCTTTTAAAAACCATCCGACCCACCCACGGGACAGGACACCCGAGGCTAGCCTAGCTAGTGGTTAGTCCCTTATGGGGCAAGACTGTGACGGCCAATAAGTAGGCTGCGATGCCGATATTGGTAACTGGAAGCTCAGAAGTGGTTGGAGAGTGGGCGGTAGTGGAGCAATAGGAAAGATAAGGAACTATTGTATCTAGCTTGAGAGGACAGAAGCGGCAGCCGGTTACTATGGGTGCATATATAAATGTATAGTAGCTTAATGTGTATCCCCCCAATACTCCTAGGGGGGGACACGTTGGAGGAAGGTGGCCTAGGTGTCACATTGGAGGATGGGTAGGGATAAGGGCACACTAGTCAGGGTTTGTACGGACTAGGCGTGCCCACGGGTTTGGAACTATAAGGGATCTCCGGAAGGATTAGCCTAGGGAGAGTGCCCAAAGGTCCCTGGCATATCGGCCATATGGGGACGAGATAGTGATTTTTTTTTTTTTTTTTTTGAATTTTGCATGTATGACTCTGATAGGGGTGAGGCCAGTAGGGTGTCACCAAGGCTTCTAGTGGTCTGTCATAGCCAGTAGGGCTGGATACGGACAATAAACTTGATTAATAATAATAATAATATGAGGCTGCAAAAACGGCTTCACTATGCCAGTGTTTAAAAGCATGGAAAACACCGACATGAAGAGGCTGTAGAAAATGGCTTGTATGAGGTATTAGAAAGAAAAGAATAATCTTTTGTTTCTCACAGAAATCCACAAATTCGTACGTAAGGTGAGAGCTAAATCCATCACAAATTGACAATCGATATTGGGCCAACCTTTAACTTTGCGAAAGGTTTCACGGTGAATCCATTGATATCCCAATTCATCATCAGGATATCCATTTCCGCTAACGGCAATCCCAATATTTTGACCGTATCCAGTGGCATCAAACCAGCCCTGGATAATGGTTTTTGCCGCAATAATAACAAATGGAGATATTACCCATTCGGAGGAGGCATTAACTCCTTCAACAACAGTGATATATTCTCGATTCGTATTAAGTGGTATATATATCCTCTTTTTTAGTTCGCGGGTGACAATATATTGATCTCTTCCCATGCCAACCTGTAAAGCCAGTCTCGTCAAAATTGTATATATATCTTCTGTCGGTATCCCATACTTAGTAATCGTACTTTGAAGCTGTTGATATCATTGCTCAAGGACCTTTGGTTCGAACGATTGCTTTCTCTCGAGGTCTATCGCCATGGCACGCGTACGCGATACTCTGGATGACTTTCAAAGAATCATTTTATCAAATGTTCGCCTAACGGGAGTTCGGCAGGGTTCGATTGGTTTAGAATAGATTGAGCGGCTCGTAACGCCATTATTATTATTATTATTATTAATCATGTTTATTGTCTATACCCAGCGCTATAGGCTATGACACCCACGGGCTTGGAACTATAAGGGATCTCCGGAAGGATTAGCCTAGGGGGAGTGCCCAAAGGTCCCTGGCATATCGGCCATATGGGGACGAAATTATTATTATTATTATTATTAATCAAGTTTATTGTCCGTACCCAGCCCTACTGGCTATGACAGACCACTGGAAGCCTTGGAGACACCCTATCGGCCTCACCCCTATCAGAATCATACATGCAAAAAAAAAAAAAAAAAAAAAAAATCACTATCTCGTCCTCATATGGCCGATATGCCAGGGACCTTTGGGCACTCCCCCTAGGCTAATCCTTCCGGAGATCCCTTATAGTTCCAAACCCTGACTAGTGTGCCCTTATCCCTATTCATCCTCCAATGTGACACCTAGGCCACGCTCGTAACGCCATATTTCGATGAGGAAAAATCTCCACGCTTTCAAAAGTGTCAATATATCGACAGAGGGCGATTTCCCGATCGTTTCATAATCTTGTATTCGTTGGGTCGCGTGTTGTACGTGAATCTCTGCCATGATAGCGAGCTAACAGTCGGGATCGAGGAACATCAAATACTCGCGCTAAATGTGGATGGAATATTTGATTTAATTCCTCCAGGAATCGTATCCAGGGCATCTGTAATTCTTGCTTCAATATCGTGATAATTATCCGGCATCCTGGTGTTGAGATATAACGCGTTAGATAGGTGGTTGTAAGTTATAAAAAAATATGGTATGTTGAGTACGTCTGTACGTTGAGTTGTCGGGGTCGAGCTATATAAGCGAGACTCTGGATGACTAAGGAAAGGGTTGATTAGGCC